TGAAGTGGCTTTCAGTGTCCTTCACATTTTGCTGCTTTGGGAGACTATGCAATGATGGGAAGATGAGTGTCCCCCATTTTTTTTTCCAGTCTTTCAGTGCCATAGTCCCTGCTGTTGTAGTAATTTATTTCTTTAGTTCTTTTTTTTTTAACAGTTAAGGGGAAGAGTCATTCCTCACACTGCTTTTAAGATGGACTGAGCCAGTCTCATTCTGGAAACAATATGCTGTACCCAGAAGAACTAAGCAGCTGCACCTGCTTTTTTACTCAGTCAAAATACAGTTTTTAGGCAGTTTTTACTTGGCCAGAAAGCAGTGCTTGAATACTTGAAACTATGTGCTGTGTTCTATTTAAGTTCTGACTATCAAACTGTTTTGTAGACAACTGCCATGATGTAATCGTCTATCTCTACGTCTGTTATCAAGTTACACTGTGAAGTTTGCCACTCTTGATGTGGTCATCAAAGACACAGATTGCTTATTGTTTAACCAAGTGTCCTAAAGCATGTACCTGTTGTTACATATCATTTTTTATTCTAAAAAGCTATGCAGCTTATATTCTGAAAACTATTAAAATATATATGCCACTGGTGATGTAACTTGTGACCATTCTTAATGAACTACAACAGAGAAGTGTAAAAGGGCAGTGATCTGGCCTGCGGGACCAGTCAGCTGTCACTAGCTTAGACTAACATGACCTCACAACATCAGTGGCTTTACTTACAGTAAGGGTTCATTTCCTACTTGTTTTCATGGCAGTGGATGGTGAGCTCTGGCAGGCTGGCCTCGTGGTATTGGAGAAATGGCCGGGTAGAGGAAACACGCAATGGCTCGTAAAAATTCTGCTCCAAAATGCTGCCTCTCTCACACTCAGGTTTCGTTGGGGCAGCAGAATTACTCTTCCAGCAGGGCTGGATCTGGTAGGGAAAGACACCAACATTATGACAGTGATGTGGTCTGTCGTCTCCATCTTCAGTTGACGGGACCATCCAAACCAAATCTTCACAGTGGTGTGGTAAGCTGGTGACTCCCTTGGCCCAGGAATAGTGCATAGTGTCTGGGAGAGTAGGAGTTCCAGGAAGCAACTACCCAAGAATGCCACTTTCAGCTGTGCCATGACGGGGAAAGGGCCTGGAGGCATGGGAGCAGTCACAGAAGACCTGTCCGGAACGGACCTGGTCGGGGTCAGGCAGGCGCTGGCCCACAGTGAAAGCACAAGTCACTTAGAAGGTACCAAGGAGATGCTGCTGCGCTCTCATACTCGCGTACCTGCTTCTCCTTCTTTACATCTGCCTTACTGTCTTCATTCAAACCCCAATCTTGGCTGCACTGCAGCTGGAATTCTTTTAAATCTGTAGCCTGGAGTATTAAGTGGTATCCCAAACTAACCACTTTGTTAGCTTTGCTTCATCCTATCCACAACACTGAAGGAGATCTTTCATAAGTTCCTCCCGAGGTCCCTGCTCTAGGAGGGTATTGCTAGCGTGACCCTTTGCTGTTCTTTCTCTCTCTGCATCCCACCCCACACTATTGGATCTGATCACAGCTAACCACAGAGATCCTGGAATCTGCTAGTGTTCCATGTGGTCTTCACCTGAAATTTTCTTACATACTTTGCCTTTCTGACAAACACTTGGCTCAGACAGGCCCTCTGGGAAGGATGAGCTCCCATATTATGAACCTTGACATCTGTAACATTTTACTGAATTTAGATGTCTTCCTGCCCAAAGTGTGAGGCTGAGGACAGGAAGCATATGTGACACATGACAGTACTACATGTGTCTAGCATAAGTGAATGTTTCTGCATGAGAAGAAGAAATGGGGTAAAAATATCTTCTCACACATTTATTTATTTATGGATGGAACACTGTCAAAATTTTAAAAAAGATCCCAAGATGATTTGGAGGGAAATGATACAAGACATTTCTAAAGGTCATATAGAACATTAATAATAAATAAGATTCATAAAGGGAACTCCAGGAGAAAGAGCATAGAATGGAATAAAGACACTCTTCAATAAACAGTGTTGGGAAATCTCGGTAGGTACATGCAAAAGGGTGAAACTAGACCACCAGATCACACCACACAGAATAAACTAAAAATGGATAAACAAATTTAAGTCTCAAAACCATAAAAATCCTAGCAGAAAACAGACAGTAAAATCTCAGGCATCTCTTGTAGTAATATTGTTGCCGATACATCTCCTAGGGCAGTGGGGGGAAGGGTGGCATAAACGGAACTACATCATATTTAAGAGCTGCTGCACAGCAAAAGAAACCAACAAAATGAAAAACCCGCTGTATGGAAGAACATTAGCCACTGAATTTTATGAGGTTAATTTCCAAAATACATAAAGAACTTCTACATAACTCAGTACTAGGAAAACAATCTAATTTAAAAATGGGCAAAGAACCTGGACAGACGCTTCTCCAGAGAGGACATACAGAGGGCCCACAGACATGAAAAAATGCTCAATGTCACTAACCCGCCAGAAAGATGCAAATTAAAACCATCATGAGATCACCTCACACCTGCCAGAATGTACCATCAATCAGTCAGCAAGCAACAAGTGCTGGCTAGGATGTGGAGAAAGGGGCGCCCTAGTGCACACTGCTGGTGGGAATGCAGGCTGGTGCAGCCACTGTGGGAAGCAGTGTGGAGTTTCCTCACAAAATTAAAAATGGGACTGCCTTCTGACCCAGTGATTCTACTTTGGGGAGTATGTCCAAAGAATCCCAAAACACCAATTCAAAAGGATATAGGCACCCCTACAATAGCCAAGATCTGGAAACAACCTAAGTGACCCATAAGTAGATGAGTGGATAAAAACGCCATGGTACAGCCCTGGCAGGTGTGGCTCAGCTGGTTGAAGCATCATCCCGTATACCAAAAGGCTGTGAGTTCGATTCCAGGTTTGGTCCCTGGTTGGGGGGAGTGGCAACCGATGTTTCTCTCCCTCTCTCCCTCCTTTCCTCCCTCTCAAATCAATAAGCATGCCCTCATGTCAGGATTAAAAAAAAAAAAAAGCTGTGGTACATTTGCACAATGGAATACTCCTCAGCCATAAAAAAGGAAATCTCATCTTTTGCAACAGCATGGATGGAGATTATTATGCTAAGTGAAATAAGCCACTCAGAAACACAAACACTATATGATCTTACATGTGGAATCTAATGAATAAACTGACGAAATAGAAATAGGCATTGATATATGGAACAGAGTGACAGCTATCAGGAGAGAAGAGGGCCGGATGAAAGAAGGTGAAGGGACTAGCCAAAGAGCATACCCATAGACAGAGACAACAGTGATGGCCAGAGGAAAGGGGAGAGCGGGGGCAAAGGGGAGGGGAAGGAGGACATCTGCAATAGTGTCAACAATAAAAATAAAGTTGAGAAAAAGAACCAACAGGGGAGTCTTCCTGCCAGATAACAAAAATCATATTAGTTCAAGATGAAATAATCCTGACAGATTATTCAGACCCTGAAAGAATTTACCCTGGGCATCACAAAATCGAAAAAGAGGAATTCAGTGGTATCAAAATTATAGTCTGACAGTTGAAAACTGAACATCCACATCATGCCATAAGTCAAATTCTAGATGGAGTAAATATTTTCAACATCAACAATGAAAAAGTTTTTAAAAAAAGCCTACAAAAATGCACCTTATTGTATGGAGACTTAAAGCTACTACAGGACCAGAATAAAAAATTAAATAGGCAAATAGCCCTTACAAAATTAGAATAAAAGTCTTCGCCAGCATTAATGGATCAAAGGCATGACAATTCACAATATAAGCATCACTAAAAGTGGTCAGGGATATTTAACCTCACTAATATTTAAAATAAAAAAGTGAGTTGCTATTGCTAATTGGTAGACAAATTTTGGAGGGTTGGGGGAAGTCATGGAGTAAGCCTGGTAATGTTCAAAAACATCATTAGAGACCTTATATGTGGCACAGACTGTTGTCGGTGCATTACATCTACAGCTCTGAGGGAGGCGCTGTCACCTTACTTGACGCACGGGGAGAGGTTAAGTAAGCATAACACAACTAGGAGAAGGGCGCACCAAAGAGTCCAGAAAACAAAACATTTTTGTAAATGTTCATCAAGTAACATCAATAAACATGTTTTAGTTATATATTAACTCGGAACAATCCTATTTAGAAAAGTATTGCAAAGATTTCACTAACCTCACTTAACAGTAATACAGCCTAAGGACTTGTGTGTGTTGTGGGAAGGACAAAATAATAATGAGGACATAAGGCATAGGAATGTGCATTTCCTTGCTATTAATGACACGAAAGTATTTTATTTTTAGAGGGGAAATGGGGGGAGAAAGGGTAAAAATCATCATCGATTGATCGGTTGCTATGCCCCCACCTTGGGACCAAACCTGCAACCTTGCCATGTGCCCCACCAGGAATCGAACTGGTGACCCTGTGCCTTGAGGGACCACGCTCAACCAGTTGAAGCACACCATGAGGGCTAGTGATACAAATTTCCAAAAGCTGCACTGGGGCAATTTAAAGTCTCATAACTAAAGAGAATCATGAAGACGACCATGCTGCCAGGAAAACGATTGCAATAGATAGAAAAAGTGCAGGATGAAAATGATGCGGAAAAAAGACAACTGAGCAGGACACAAACTTTAAAAGAAATTAATATTTAAACTTCCAGTATTTCTAACTATATGCATTTAAAAAGCTTTAAAAAAATACACTAGAATAATTTCCCCCGCTCACCTCCAAAAAACTTCCATTTAATGAAACTCACAACTGTATGTTAAGAACTGTGCTAAATCCCTTTCCATTCATTATACAGAAACTGCCATCCCGTTTTACTGATAAGAAAATTTAGACTAAGACAACTGAAACTGCCGAAGGCTGCATAGCTCCTAACTAATTCCAAAAGCCCGGGCTCTCTAGATCGACGCACAATCTGTACGCCACCTCCCAGGAAACCGAGGTCACTCCACCCCGTGGTCCCTCCCCCACTTCCGCTGCTGCGCACTGTGGCTCCAGCCAACCCGGCTTTCGGGAGGACATGGCTGCTTCCCGCTTACCCACAGCAACGCTAACGCTAAAGCAGGTACCAACTGTACTCATCCTTCTAGGGCAGCTTTCCTGGGTCCGAGCTCGGTTCTCCCTCCCTCCCTACACCCAATCTATGGAATGTGTCTGGGGAGCAACTGGGGCCGGTGACCCCGCGCGCAGTATCTGGCCTGGGCTGGAGCGGGCGGGTCTTCCCGGTGTGCTGTCCACTGGAAGGAGGGGGGCAGGGGAAGGGCGGGGGCCGGCAGGAACCGAGACAGGTAGGGCAGGCTCTGGATCTCTTGCTCCCCTGATGCCTCAGCTGCCCGATGGCTATGGTAAAAACTGTTTTTGCTTGTTGTACTCATCTGTGGTAAAAAGAAAACGAAGTTACGAAGGGATTTTAACAAGTGCGTTAATTTAGAAAAGGTGCTGCTATTGTGGTTAGTTTCTAGGAGTCCCGTAGCCCTTTTTCTGCCCAGTGGTGCGCTCTTGATTTTAAGGGTTATCATGTTTGACAGAGGAGTAAGCACACAGCCGAAATAAACTTGTCATTTTCTTAAAAGAAAAAAGATTTTTCTTTGCCCTTTTCACAATTAAGGACCAAAGAGAAGTTAATCTGGTTATAGTTTGATTTGCTAAAGTAGAGCCCTCGGGGCTGTTGATTGTGCAGTTGTAATTGCTGTTTCTCCTCCCCTTTGCAGTTCCTAAGAAGGCAACAAGTTCTCCTTCTCTACCGAAGGATTTTGCGAGCCATTCGCCAAGTTCCAAATGATTCTGATCGCAAATACCTGAAGGACTGGGCGAGGGAAGAATTCAAAAGAAACAAAAGTGCCACTGAAGAGGTAAGAAAAGATCACACACCCTGACCCTTTTGTATTGTTCAGTGAATGTTTACAAATGTTTAGTAGGCATCTTGGAATATAAATGTCACTGAGATGGTAAATTTTGATCGTTCCTCTAATGTTACTGATTTTCTACATGTTAAATATTTAAAATTTCGCTTTTGCTGTATTTACCTTCTACACTAACATCCCCTGACTTTCCTCTTAACTGCCCGCGCCCACCCCTCCCCCCGCCCCCGCCCCCCGCCCCCGAAGACTTACAGATACTACAGCGTGATGGTTTAGGAAGTATGACTGCCAGACATGTGCCTTCCTGATAGCTTTTGGCTTTCCTAATATGCAGCCGTTTGAATTCTCAGTATTGGTTCCTGACTTTAACAAATACAGTAATACAGCTGTATCTTGATTAACTAGGTAAAACAATGACCAGATTTCATTTTCCCCTACAGGATGCAATCCGGATGATGATTACACAAGGCAATATGCAGCTCAAGGAGTTAGAAAAAACACTTGCTTTAGCAAAATCTTAATGATGGCATCATGTTGAAAGATTTTCAAAGTCTCCATGTGTTTTGATGAGCTTAGGCTCAACAACGGGCAGCCCAAAGTCAAGTCAAACAGTATTTACAGCACTCCAGAACATGAAGCATGGCAAAGAAAAGCTGTTTCAGAATAATTGCCTTAGCACTGGAAAACATACCCTATATTTTGAAAATATTTGTCGGCAGTTTTTGTAAGCAGCCAAAACTAGTACAAAGTAACAACAAATGGACAGTTGGCACATAAAAAGATACTCAGCACCACTATTTATCAGGGAAATGCAAATCAAAACCACAGGGAGATACTACACATCCATTAGAATGGCTCTCATTAAAAATGAGCATGACACCCAGTCATGGTGAAGATGTGGAGAAATGGGAACCCTAAAGCATTGCTTGTGGGAACATAAAATAGTACAGTCACTTTGGAAAACAGACTGTCAGTTACTGAAAAGGTTAAACATAGTTGCCTGATTCAGCAATTTTACAACTAGGTTTACAGCCAAGAGAACTGAAAACACATAGACAAATATTCATAGCATTATTTCATAATAGCCAAAAAGTAGAAACAATCCAAATGCCCACCAACCGATAAGTGAATAAATAAAATGTGGTATATCTATACAATAAAACATTGTTCAGTAATAAAAAGAAGTGAAATACCGATACTTGCTACACACAGATAAAACTTGAAAACTTTAAGTTTCAGAAAGCAATCACAAAAGATCACATATCATATGATTCCCTTTATATGAAATGTATAGACTAGGCAGGAAGATTAGCGGTTGCTAGCTCTTTGAATGAAATGATAATAACTTGATAGGGGGTTGTCTTTTCGGGGTGATGAAAATACTCTAAAGTTAGATTTTGGTGTTGTACAATGCTGTGAATATACTGAAATCCACCAAAATGTACATTTTACATGTATGTGAATTATAAAGTGTTTTTTCTTTTTTTAAAGTTGAGATAGAATTGATATAACATCGTATAATCCATAAAGCTGTTTTGAAAAAGAGTATGAGATGTAGGACTGGGGGTGTACTGACCTCAGGACATAACCTAGAACTTGCTTGAAAAATCCTCCATTACCCCTCAGGGTTGTTGGGGTATGTTCTTCAGATGTGCCATGATCTGATACTCGAAAAAGATCACTGGGAATCTAGAACTTTGTTGCAAAGAGAGGCAAAAGAGAACCTTAATGAATAGCTTGTACACCTTAAGAGGAGGCAACTTTTTAGGCAATTTCTGGATTAAACTAATGCAATTACCTTAATATCCATCCATGTAAATCATACATGGAAGTATAGTAAATCATTAGGAAAGATCTCCAGTGCATTAGGTTCTCTTACAGTGAAGGGAAAAAACAGTTTGAAGAATACTTCAGAGAAAGAAGTGGACTTGAGGACATTTTTGGAAGAGACCGATTTTTTAACAATTTAGTGAAAGTTTATGGTAAGAGGCTGAGATTGGTAGTCCTGTAGAATGAAGTGCTGTTCATCTACAGAACAGATCTAAAAAGTTAATCCACGAATCTCACCAGCACCTGGAATATACAGAAAACACTACGCAGAATGAAAAATAGTGTCTAGTATTGGACTGTGCTCCAGAGGTGAGGCCTGAGCTGATGGTGGGATATGTCAGCGACCTGCATTGTCCGGGCCTACCTCCCTGTCCCACAGCCTCAGAGCCCACAGGGCGAAATAATTCTGGATACTCCCCCCCACTGGGCAGCCTGCTAATTCAGAGTGCTTGCATGAGACAATGTTTTAGATTCTGTGTTCCTCAACCTACTGCAAAGGCATCTGGTGAAAAAAGCATTTGTGAAGTTTCTGAAGAGAACACTTTAGAAATATTCTTTGTGTAGGACAATTGACATGCATATGCAAGTACAAGCTGTCTCTAGCAAACCTAAAATCTTGAAAAGTTAAACATTCTTCTGTGAGGTGAGGAAGTCAGTGACTGGGTGATGCTCTTCCTAGCAGTGGGGTCCATGGAAGACTACGGGCATTTGCGGTTTGAATTTGCAAGATGAAAATATTAAAAATTTAATTTCTTCCAGAAATTAAGATGATAATGGACAAGCTTTTACCTTCATCTCTAAAGAACTGTTTACTTCCATTTGTTAATTTACGTGCTTTGGTTATTCCCTCTGAATTATAGGCCAAGCCTGTTGTTTAGCCAAAAAGACATATTTAGTAATTTCTTGTCATATATGAAGGCATGGTCATTTATTAAGGTGTTGGCTAGAATAGAACAGCTGGTGGAATACATTTTATTCATCATCTTTATCAGTATTCTGGATTTGACAACAGATTACCTTCTTGAGTACATTCCCTGTAAACTATACTCTTGTTTGAATGTGAAAGTTTTGTTCCTAAAGTTTAATTTTAAGTAGCTTGAATGTTCAGTTTATGTATTTGAACTAAGAATAAATCAATCTTTGTATTTTATTCTAAAACACAAAAGCTTTCTAGCCTACGAGAAGTGGCTAAGGCTGTTTATTATTTAACACGTTGACTGTCCCTGTGTCACTGCCCCCTTTCAGGTGTGCCATCAGGTTGGAAATTTTAAACTCATGGCACAGGCAATGCTGTGAATGTGCCTGCAGAGACAGGTGGCTTTCTAACACGAGGAAAAGAGAACGTTGCTCCTGCTGCATGTGCTCTCGTGGCCGTGCCAGCAGACACACTCGGCGGGGCGCAGGCAGAGACCCTTACTTACCTGAATTAGCTCTCCTATGCAGTAAGGAAGGGAAATGCCAGTAAAAAACCAAATGGAAGCAGCTCGCACCTACTTTGGAAAAAAAAAAAAGAAAGTGGGGATTATGTAGAGTAAGATCCAAACAGGATAAAAAGCAATTGTGGCTCTGTGCCAAACTAGAAATCACCATAAGCTATTTCCTTCCTTCAGACATTTGAAAAATTACATTAGGATTAAATTAATTATTTGTTTACTGAGAAGAGTGAATCAGTTTTCACCCATTCTACTTTGTATTAAAAAAAGGTGCTGTACTGTGTCTTGCTTGTGTGTTACTATATTTATAATCACCATATTTGACTTGTTATAGGAAAAGATTTCCCCTTAAATTATAACAAAATGTTTTTTTTCTTATTCATAAAATGTATTCTAAAAGGTCATTAGCTTTTTAAAACTAGTTTTTTTTTAAGATTTTATATATTTACTTGTAGAGAGAGGGGAAGGGAGGGGGAGAGAGAAAGCGAGGGAAAGAAACATCGATCGGTTACCTCTGGCATGCTCCCCATTGGGGACCTGGCCCCCAAAGCCATGCCTGTGCCCTGACCAGGAATCAAACCAGTGACCCTTTGATTTGCAAGATGATGCCCAACCCACCAAGCCATACCAGTCAGGGCTGGTTTGTTTTTTAGTCTTAACTGATTGCCTTTTATATCACAAGAAGAATTATATTTAGCTTTTAGGAACAATTTGTTAAGTCATAAAATGTCATCTTGCCTGCATAAAATTACAAGTAATGTTATCCTTGTGTGTTTTCCAAAAGGTCAACAGTTTAAACAAAACATTAGTTTAAACGTGCATTGAGAAATCTCTCCATGTTACAGCAGGATTTTTAAAAAATATTTTTTCATACAATTCACCTGATCACTTTATAGCAGATGTATTTAAATACTTATGGAAATATTGTGTAGTGTGGCTGGATGAAGGCACTCTTTCAGGAACCATAAAATTTGGTTAGCTGCACAAATGAAAATGTAGGCCAAACAGTATTCACACTTCCATGGTTTAAATAGGGAATTTAGCATCCGTAGTGTTGAAGAACCAAGTCTAATGCTTGGAAGAGACACAAATTCAAGGTTATATATTCAATAGAAGACAACATACTTCTCAAATATCAATGCTTGACTGAAAAAAAAAATAAGGTAAACATGAAAACATCACTTCCTTTATTTTGGGTTCCCAAGATCAAAAGTAAGATTAGAGCTAATATTCAGTCTATCACAGATATTTACTCAAATGAAATAATGCACTAACGAAACCCCCCTGGAATACTGTACAACCTATGTATTTTATATCACTTTCCCCATAGCCACTGGAAGTTCCAGCCTTAGTTTGAAACATAACCTACATGACAGGCATAAATTAGTAATAGCTCTGCTTCTTTGGAAGAGGACTCCTGTGGGTGGCATTTGCTTATTTTAGCACAAGGGAAAGATACACATCGGACCCATAGTTGAGTTTTTGACAATGAAGAACAAAAACAGAGCAAGTGTAGTTGTTAGAAAAGCTATTGCTTCAGTGGGGAGATGCTGCCATCTCTCTGAGCTTGAAGGCTAACTGACCCTGTCCTCATTCCTTGCCTGTTACACAACAGGTTTTTTTCCCCCCATCTTTGAGAGACAAGATCTGTGTAATCTTCAGACTAGGTGCATTCGGCCTTTCTCATTCCTCCCTAGTCTCTTCCCTAACTGTGACTTTGACAAAATACTTTTTGACAAAAGTATTTAGTTCGCAATAATAAACTGCCTGCTTCTGGTGGGTAGGAGTTGCATCAAAATACTTTCCAACAAAGCACTCTATGGCCTGAAGTTACCATCTAGCTCCACAATCCTGTGAGTGCATTACTAATGTGAAAAGAGGAAAATACCTCTACAATTAGCAATCCAGAGAGTCTGTGGGGAAGAACCATCTACCTACATAATAGTTGAGAAAAAAGATAAGCTTACAAACACAAAAATAGGCTTAAGGGCATCAGATTAACTCCCTATCCAGGTTCTGTAATGCTGACAGACGTCTACATTTATAAGGGATGTCTGTATCCATAGATTGTCACTATGAAGAAAAAAGAGGAACAACTGAGTTTTGGTAGGCAAAAACAAAGAGACTAAAAACATACTTTGGTTTTCCATGTCAAGAAGTCATTCTTTGTGGCTCAATGAGCAACATTTTATTCTAAATTACAGATGATACTTACTCAGTTCCTGAGTTTACAGATACGGAACTGAGGGTTCTATGCATACATGGAATTTTGAGATGAATATAATCCCACATTTCAAGGGACAAGAAAAAGTTTGGAAGATAATTAAAATCAAAGATTAAACACACCCGAGCTGCTTTTATAACTTTGTATATTCTATAGAGCAGAGAAAAATCCTTAGAGCTACAAGAAGCTGGGAATGGTGGGATCTAAATCGAGTTATTGAATTATTTACTTTGACACAGTCACTGTAAAGCAGTGGAAAAGCTTTTTAGGTTTTTTTAATGATAGGACTCAATTGAAAGTGAAATATTTCAAGAAACAGCCTAATTTCTTTATAAAATACAAATCAATAAGCTCAAATTCAGAAAGGTGCTCTGAGATAAATTGGTTTGATTGTGAATATAGAAGATTCAGATAATTGTTATGTGAATTTTTTCCATTAATCTGCTATAAAAATCACAAGGATTAATTGATTATACTATCTCTGTATTTTGGCTGAAAATACAGAAACCATGATCAAATGATTTTAACCTTTCTTATTTGAGTTCATTATTAACAAATATTCCCAGTGCTATCATCCAATTAACTTTTTAAAAAAACTTTGACTTTTGAAAACATTTTTTAATAGATTTTATTTATTTACTTTTAGAGACAAGGGGAGGAGAGAGGGAGAGAAACATTGATGTGTGAGAGAAACATCGATCAGTTGCCTCCCACATGCCCCCAACTGGGGACCTGGCCCACAACCCAGGCACGTGTCCTGACTGGGAATTGAATCAGCAGCCTTTCAGTTTGCAGGACAATGCTTAGCCCACTGGGCCACACCAGTCAGGGCCAAAACATTTTAGGTTATACTGGATCTTGTGACATCATGTGACTCCTTTTCCTCAAAATCTATCTGATAAGTTTTCACCTGATTGAAATGTCAGCATTTTGAGAATTATGCATTTGAGAGAGAGGGTTTAGCGCATCTCAGTTACTGCTTTTCCAGAAAGACACTCTTGTCTAGGCACAGCAGGTGTGTTTATATGCATGACTACTTCATTTGAGTTCACAAGGGGTTAACTTTTGTTTTTCCTTGCTTTTGTTGTTTTGCACATCCTGAATTTTAGGGTTTAGGCTTACATCGTTCAGTTTCTTAGTGGCTCACTTAATCTGAGCTTCTGAACTTCAGATGAACCTGGATTGAGGTTTTAAATATGTAATGAAACCTGTTACTAAGCAAGCTTTCCCTGGTTTCGGTTTAATTGTTGAAGTCTTCATAACTTCAGGGCATAGGAAATGTGTGTGTCTGGCACATTTTAGAAATCAGTGATTTTTTTTTGTTAAAGGCAAGTCTGCTACGTGCACAGTAACGGACACCTTGGGCACTGCTATTCTGCGGCTGCAAAACTAGAAATCCTCATGAATCCTTTCTTGCGCCACTTCCCAGGTCCTAACTTTCCTTCTGCACCTTAGTCCTTAGCTTAGCAAGTTCCTCTTCTAGACTTTTAATATGTTCCTTCAGCGTGGCCTTGTCTTGCTGGGCTTTCTGACTGGCTTGGCTTCGTGCTTCTTCAATCTTTCTTTCATACCACTTTTCCATCTGGGTAGCAACAGCCTCAAAAAAATACTGTGTAATCTCCAGAGCTTGGGAGGTGTCTCGGACGTGAGAGGCAGTCTGCTCGCTGCCTGTTGCTGGTGGTGGCTGCCCGCAGGTGGTGCTGGGTGCTGGTTGCTGGGCTCGATGCCTCGTCTGCCCACTTTTCCCAGACTTCTTGGTTTGCGTGCCTCTGTCAACACAGGGCCCAGCCTGCTGATCACATCTCGCTGCCTCTTTCAAAGGTAGTGAGGCTGTCTGGACTCTGACGTTCCTCAGTCGGGAGCCCGTACAGTCTGAGGAAGATAGTTCCTGTTGGAGTCTGTGGGTAGCAGCAGAGTTGAGGGCCTTTTCCTTGGGCCTGACCACCTGAGGGGAACTGTCAGAAGCTGCTACTGGACCCGCGGTCACCACTGATTGATCCACACCTGGTGTTGGAAGAAAAACACAAGTCAGAGCAAGTCCACAGTCATAGTCACGTGGCTGTAGGTCAGCATTTGACAGTGCTGAGAACCTTATTCATGACCTGCCCTCCCAGTCGCCAACCACAATGTACATCTTCTCTGCCTGCCTTCCACCGCTCCTGACCATCGCTGCGGCTTGTCAAGGCTTTCTGGGATACTCTGTGAGCCATGCAGGTGGCATCTAAGCCAAAAAAGTTGCTGGCCTCTCCTTTTGCCCATCTCAATCTACCCTAGAAGGCTCTGGGTACCATTTCCTGATGGCTGAGGACAGAGCTCACCACGTGTCTCACCGTGTGGGCATTTATCAATGAGACTGAGGATCTCCGTTCTCTGACTTCCAGGCTCTCTGCCCACCGCAGTCCCAGGTACGAGTTCCTTGACCCAAGCTCCAATTTGGAAAGAGCTCCAGGCCAAGCTCCATAACTAGTCATAGCATGGAAAAATTTGCTAAGGATTTTTCTCATTATTATGACCATAAAGAAGATAAAACCACAGTTCCAGAGGCGGCCTGTGGTAACATGAAACATCTGACATGTGAAAATCCCCCGTGGAAGCCTAATTATTTCTAAGTATGTGAATGTCTTCAAAATTACACCAAGGGTTAATTGCTTGGCTAAGGTAACATGTTTGGCTGGAAGCATCTCTTATCTAGCGCCTGAGGCAGCTTCAGTATATGAAGTGCGCTTAATGAGGTTTTTCAGATTTGGACAAAGGTAAGAGGCCAATCACAGAGGAGAAAAGGGAAATAAGTACAAAGTCAAGGGCACTGCTGAGGAGAGGGATGTCCACTCACCACCCCTCATCTTTGGGGTCCACTCTGACACCTTCGACATTGCACCCGAAGCACATATCGTTTCCACAATAAAACAATTCTTTTAGTCCTTCATTCAAATATTTTTAAACGCTTAGCTAGGAATGCTTTATTGCTATATAGGAACTGAGTATATAGTAACGAGCAAAACCTCGTCCTTGCTCCTACAAGTTTACTCTGCAATCCAGTTTTCCCACAGCCCTGTCATATGGGCCACCTTCAGAGGCAGGGGAGAACAAGATTTGGGGGTTTCGTCGCCTTTGGGTGGAATGGCGCGTGCTCTCCCTCTCTCTCTCTCTCTCTCTTTCTCTCTCTCTCTCTCTCTGCATGTGGGTTACCTGTAGAGGACTCGCAAGTAGATGGTGTGGATTTAGCCCTAGAGGCCCTAGAATCTCCAGAAAGCTTCAGTTCCAGATTCTGAATCTTTAACATGCACCAGGTTTTTAATTCATCCACCAAGGACAGCTAAAAAAACACACAAAATAACCGGTTGAATTTAATACATGGTGTATGAATTAATGCATTAAGAATGGATTTTTTAATTATGATCGTTGAGGATACCATCTTGACAAGCCCCAAAGTTGTGGATAACACCCCCCCGCCCGCCCACAGGCCACACACTCGTCTTGCCCTCCACAGACCTGGATTCCCCTGACACCCAGGCTGATACTGCCCACAATCTTCATCAAGTCACTTAGAGCCGCTTTAACTCAAACACTCAAAGTTTCCCCAAGTCTTCCCAGCTAAGCCTTTCTGCCTACTCAGGAGTGGGAACTTCCGTACACTCACGAATGCTTATTTTAGGTCTGCTGTCTTCACTAGGCCACATGCCCTCAGGGCAGGAACTAAATCTTGTCAACGGAGTAAGAGCCCAATAAATACACAATACACAGAAATGATTCAGGGCAGACATCACATTTCCCCAATGTTTTATAAACTTTTTGATCTCCACCTACTGCCAGCATATTCAACAACAAACATGAACTGAACTTCTTATGCAAATAACATGTTATATAATGCAAACACTTCTAGGGGACCTCTGAGTTTTTGATGATAGGTCTCGGTCTTTTATTATGAAGTGCGGTAAATCACCAGTTAGAGACAGACAGATACTGGTTCTCACCTGTCGTTTCTCTCCCTCGTGCTTCTCTGTGTCTGAGTGCTGCTGCAGGCGATTCAGGCACTCCGTTCTCTCTGCTGAGAGTCGCTCAACCATCAGCTTGTCCAGAACACGCATCTAGGATTCAAGGGGCAAACACTGCATGACTGAGATCACCTAAGGATGGACCCCTGAGGAGGGGATCTGCGGTCCCAAACAGGGACCAGAGAGAAAGTAAGCAAACCAATACCTTTCATTCTATTGTCATACAGCAGTCACAGAACTCTCATTTTTTTAGAACCCTAAGCAGGATCCCATTTAGGCCAATGCTTCTTTTTCCCCCTTGTTAAAGTCCTTAAGGGGTTTAAGAGACTAGGAATATACAGTATATATAAAACTTGAGCTAAAATAGACCTTGTAGGTAAAGGAGAATTTTTATAGGTCTCAGAACAGTATTTCCATGACTATGATCAAAAGGAAAAACTATTTCTTCAAGTATGGAGCTATTCTCCCCCTTTTAAATGTTAGTGGCTGCCCAAGAGGCAGTGAAAGAAGCTCAGTACTCAGGGCTTTTATCCAGCTTTCCCAGTAAACAAATCCTCTTGGTGAGCCATTAAAAGTAGACAAAGCAAGTGTGAGGAAGGCTGTGGAAGGAGTTCAAAGGGATTGCTTCAGAGAAGAAATAATTGTCACTGCCTTTCAACCACATGCCCTTCTAGGTCCCCTCTTCATCTTGGCATTTACCGCAGGGCCCTAGCACCCAGAAGAGGTGAGCTTCCATTGCTCTGACAGGTCCGAAGGAGGGAGAGAAGCTACTGTGAGGGGGAGCCAGCCCACAAGGGCTCCCCCGGCAGCTTCGCTCCTGTCAGGGACATACAAAATGTTCCACACACAGATTTTGAAAAAATAAAAAAAGTAGCATCCGTTCGGTAGATGCGTTCCGGAGTTCTGTTTTGTCTCTTCAGCCCTCACGATTTTCTGTGAATTACTCTCCTGTTTTCTATGACTGGCCTGCTCTCCCACCTCATTACCCGCTGTAGAGAGGGCCCCGCCTGGAACCACCACACTGATACGCAGCTTTGTTCCTGGGCACACTGCACTGGTTCTGGCCAGAGCACCAGACTCACGCGGGGCCACAGTCCTTTCCTTGCAATTTGGAATTGAGACCAAGAGGCTACGCCCCTATCTATCACCTTCCTTGAACCAAAGAGAGGTCCGTCAACACACCTCAGCACTCACCGGATGCCCTCCACTCCTCTTTGGGCTTGACTAGCTGAAGTGGGTTTTCACTCACAGTCTTAACCAATGCATTAGGGCTCCAAGAAAAGATTTCTTAAATAGACTTTCCACTAAATGCAAACAGCAAATAAACCTTAAAACTGTTCAACCTCTTCACTTGTATGTGAAATCTACAGAACAAAATTAATGAACAAATGAAACTGAAACCGACTCAAATACATAGAAACAGACTGAAGGTTGCCAGAGGGGAGAGGGCTTGGAGGACTGGGAGAAAAAGGTGATGGGAGTAAGAAGTACACATTTGTAGTTACAGGACAGTCATGGAGATGGAAAGTACAGCATAGGAAAAATGGTCAATAATATTGTAATATCTATGTGCGGCGCCAGGTGAGTACTGGAAACATCAGGGGACACTTTGTAAAGTATATGATTGTCTAACCACTACGCTGTACACCTGAAACTAATGCAAAAAATATTAAATGTAAACTGTAACTGAAAAATAAATTTTTTTAAATTAAAAAATGTTCAAACCTCACCGACAAACAAGGAAATAAAAATTAAACAATTAAACGTCCATAATCAATTTGACGAAAACTTTCAAGAAATAACATTAAACAATGGCAAAGGGTAGAGACAGAAACTCAGACACTGTTGGTAGGATATAAGTTGGTACAAACTTTCTCAAATAGTTTGCTAATAATTATCAACAGCTGTAAACATATTCTTAACTTTGTGCTCATTTATCCTAACTCTGAGCAAATAACCTAAAAGGCAGTCAAAAGTTTGTGCCCATAAATGTTCACCATTGCATTATGTGAATGAAAGATTATAAGCCACTTTAAAGTTTATCAGAAAGGAATGGTCAAATAAACTGTGTTGAGTTAATATGTTAGAATATGAAGCCAAGGACATGGGGAAATGCTCATAATATAAAATTAAGGGAATAAAAGCAGGAGTTGTAATTGTGGATCCTCCACACACAGGAAGTAGTGTCCCAGCATTGTAAAGTGCCCCATAGCTTAACATGTCTAGGGCAGCTTTCTCAATTTAAAAACAAGCTGCAAAAAAAAGCACAGCATTGTTCCATTTTTGTTTAAAAGGGATAATCTTGTAGATTACTATCTATAAAAGAGAAAAGCCTATGGGAAAATACACCAATCCAACAATAAAACTCTGAAGAGTGTCAATATGATACATGTTCTGCAATATGAAATTTTTTTCCAAGTAAACATGTATTTTGTAAGTTCTTTTCAGGTTTTTTTCTGGATTTAAAGATTACATCTATCATGACTTCCTTATTAATTTACAAAGGGAAAATGTACCTTTACAATGGCAAGATAGTGGTTACCAGCTTAGCCAAGTTATTAAACGAAGCACATTAATAAAGGGACTTCCTGACATGTGTCTCCTGATGTGAGGTAATTTGAAGTTTACATCATTAATTGTGAAGTACTCTTGCCAAAAAATATTTAATCTGAACCTAAATAAACATCTAGACCAATGGTCCTCAAACTTTAGGTATACCAGCATTACCTGAAGGTCTTGTTAAAACATAGGTTGCTGGACCCTAACCCCAAATTTTATTTGCAATGCAATTAAATTCAGTATACCTGCATTGCGGCCTAAAATTTTGCATTTTCCCTCTACAAGTCCCTAGATGATGCTGATGCCATTGGTCTGGAGATGACACTTTGAGAACCACTGCTCTAGACCTAACTTTAAGTTTACAGAAATACAGGGATAAAGGAACAAGTTAAATAACACCACAAAGAAACTATCAAAAAAATCCAGAGAGCTTCTGGTCAAGATGGTGGTATAAGTAAATGGAGTACTCATCTCTTCCCACAACCACCTCAAAATTACCACTATACAACAGAACAAGAATCATTCAGAACTACCTGAAATCTGGCTGAATGGAAGTCCTACAACTAGGGATTTAAAGACACCACATGGAGACTGGTAGGAGTGGAGAGACGTAGAACAAGGTAGTCCCACACCCACGTGTGCCGAATAAAAATCCAGAGGGACATCTCTGCTGCAGAGGTTCTCTCTGAGGAGCAAGGGGATCTAGCCCCGTATCAGGCCCTCCAGCTTAGGGTTCCAGTGCCAAAAAGAGAAGTCTCCATAACTTCTGACTGTAAAAACTAGCAGGATTGTGACTTCCCTAATTTGGTGAAGGTAATAGACATACAAGAAGCACAGAGAGTCCCAAACAAGATGGACGCAAAGAGCCCCATACCAAGACACATCATAAATAAAATGCCAAAGGTTAAATACAAAGAGAGAATCTTAAAAACAGCAAGAGGAAAGCAGTTAGTTACCTACCAGAAAGATCCCATAAGCTAATTAGCTGATTTCTCAATGGAAACTTAGCAGGCCAGAAGGAACTGGCAAGAAATATTCAAAGTGGTGAAAAGCAAGGATCTACAACCAAGATTACTTTACCCAGCAAAGCTGTCATTTAGGATCAAAGGACATATGAAGAACTTCCAGACCACCCTTCCAAAAAAAGAAAGAAAAAGCTAAAAATGTTCATCACCATCAACCAGTATTTACATGAAATCTTAAAAGTGCCTTCTTTGAAAAGAAAGAAAGATAAAAAATATGAACAATAAAATGGCAATAAATAGCCCTGGCTGGCGTGGCTCAGTGGATTGAGTGCCAGACTGTGAAGCAAAGGGTCGCTGGTTTGATTCCCAGTCAGGGCATATTCCTGGGTTGTGGGCCACGTCCCTGGTGGGGGGTGCGTGAGAGGCAACCACACATTGATGTTTCTCTCCTTCTCTTTCTCCCTCCCTTCCCCTCTCTCTAAAAATAAAATCTTTTTAAAAAATAAAATTTCAGCAAATATCTATCAACAATTGAACCTAAAAATCAAATAAATAAACAAGCAGAACAAAAACAGACAGATATAGAGAACATTTTGACAGCTGTCAAATGGGAAGGAGGTTGGGAGAATGGGTGAAAAAGGTGAAGAGTTTAAAAAATACAAACTGATAGTTATAGAATAGTCACAGGGATAATAGGGATATAAATAAAGTACAACATAGGAAATATAGTCAATAGTATTCTAATAACTATGGTGTCAGATGGGTATGACATATATATTGCAATGATCACTGAGGAAGTTATATAATGTCTAATCACTGGGGTGTACACCTGAAACTAACATAATATTGTATGTGAACTGTAACTGAAAAATAAAAAGTGATTAAAAAAGAATGTGAACCAAAGAACATGTGCATTTGTAATTTTGATGGTTACTGCTATAATTTTAAGGGATACTCCAATTTACACTTCTAGCTGAAATATATTGGAATTCCTGTTCTCCTACATCCTCATCCACAAATTATGTCATCAAACTCTTTGGTCTTTGACAACCTGGTAAGTAAAAATACTCCTGTATAACTCTAATTTGCATTTTTCTTAGAGCAAGATTGAACATCTTTTCCTGTAGCTATAACAGCTGTAAAATATACCTTCTCTAAAAAATTTCACATCTGTTACTTTACATAAAAGATTTTCAAAATTAAAATAAAAAGTGTTCTTTAATCAAGTATGAGTCAAATGTCCTTTGACTATGAAGAAGGAAAGATAATTTTCATGAAGTCATTAGCCAATTTGCAGAAGTTAGTGTTATTACTCATAAGAAATGTTATTACTCATTACCAAAATAGAACTAGCGGAGAATGGTACTTGATTTCTGTGGTCTTTTTTGCAAAAATCCATAATACCAGAAGAATTATGAGGAAAATGTCAGATAAATGCAAATTGAGAGACATTCTACAAAATATCTAACCAGTGCTCCTCAAAACTGTCAAGGTTGTCAGAAACAAGGAATGTCTGAGAAACTGTTAGAGCTCGGAGGAGCTTAAGCAGAGAAGACAACTAAAAAATGTAATAGATTCTGGAACAGAAAAAGGATATTATGGAAAAGTTAAGGAAATCTGAATAAAATTTGAAGCCTAATTAATTAAAAAAAAGTATCAGTATTGTTTCATTAGTTGTGACAAAGGTACCGTACCAAAATAAGATGTTAATAATGGGAAACTAGGTGCACATTATGTGGGAATACTCTGTTCTGTCTTTGTACCTTTTCTGTAAATCTAACACTATTTTAAAATAGTTTATTTACATATAAAAAGCAAAATAGATAAATAGAGGAGTGGATAGATGGGTAACTGTGTGACAAAGCCAATAAAGCAAAAATATTACTGTGTAAATCTAGATGCTGGACATATAAGTGTTGACTAAAATTTTCTTCACTTTGTTTTATTTTTGGAAAAAATCCATAATTAAATGTTGAGGAAAATACATTCATATTTTTTAAAAAAAGAAAGAAAAGGAAAGAAAAATCCAGAATACAGAACATCCTATAAAACAATTGGTTTGGACTAAGAAAGTCAATATTACAGGTGGGAACAAAAAGCTGAAGAAGGAATCAGAGATTGTTCTAGATTAAAAGAGACCCCAAGAGAACAAAAGTACACAAAAAATTCACTGAATCCTGGGCTAGGATTAAAAATAAAAACCAGATTAAAACATACTATGCTGTACACCTGAAACCAATACCAAATAATATTGAATGTAAACTGTAATAGAAAAATAAAATTTAAGAAACAGACAAACAGGCACTCCCCCTCTCGGGAGCATACCCACGCCCTTCCCTCCCCCACCCTTTCCCCGGCGCGGCACTACCCCTTTGCCTTTCTCTCTCCTAAGCTCCATGGGCTCTTCTTCTGCTTCTGTAACAAGTCCCCTGAGCCTCCTCAGCCCAGCTGGCTCACTTCTACCATCTCGGTAACTTCCTAAACAATCTTTTTCTTATAATTTGTAAAAAAAAAAAACCCAGCCATTAAAAACATTTTGGGAGAATTAAGAAAACCTGAACCAGAGATTGTACAGTCATTATTAATTTTCTCAGATGTGATGATGGTATTTTGTTATGAAGGTGAAAATCCTTACTCTTAGTCAATGCACTTGGAAATATTTAGAGGTGGGGTGTCAGGACAGCCTGTAACTCAATCTCAGAAAGTTCAGCAAGAGGAAAAAAGTGTACGAGACACACAAGGCAAATATGGCAACACTGAACTGGGCCGAGGAGGAGGGTACACAAGCATTTGTTATACTATTATTTCACCTTTTCTCTGTGTTTGAAAAATTTCCAAATAAAAAGTTAGGAAGAGGAATATACTATAGACATGATTATTCTAATTTTGTGCATAACAAGAAAGGGGTATAGAGTACCTAGACATATAAAAAGACCGGAAGAAAATAAACCCAAATATTAATAGTGTTGATTAATCATGGTGGGCTTATAGGTGATTTATTTTCCTTTCTAATTTTCATATTTTAAGAAATGCTCTGTAGTAGGTACATATTACTTTTATAAACAAAAGCTACTGAAACATGTGCTTTAAAAGTATAAACAAACAGGCTTTAGCAAAATCACACGTGCAGGCCTCTTCCCTGTCAGACCACCCACATGTGTAGGGCAGAGTTTGTAGGACGGAAGGGTGTGCTCAGGGGTCTCCCCCACCACGTTTCCCGCCAGAACACCTTGAGAAGAGGAGGCTGGGTGACACGCTTACTTGGTGCTGGGTCTTACTCTCCATGTGCCCCAGCTTTATATTCATTTTATCCTGAACCGACCCCAGCTCCGCTTTGATCTCCTCCACAGTTGCTTCCAACTGATTCTCCAGCTTGTTGATTAGGGGTTCACATCGACAACCATTTATTGGTGCCTAAGACAGAAATAAAAAAGGAATTAATCCAACACATTTGTTCCTTCAAAAAATCAGTTCTGAGTACTCATCATGTGCAGTCAGGACGGCAGGCGGTGCAGATGGTGGAGACAGACTCAGCCCTGTCGAAACTGTGGGATGTCCTGCAGGCCAAGCGCTGGGTCCAGCAGGCACTGGGAAGGCTCAGAGAGAGGACTGTCCCAGTCCTCAGGCTGCTTTTATCCACTCTGGGCCCTCAGGATAGTCTAGTCACCTAAGGACGGTGCAGGGAGGTTTGTAACCACCCCTCTGTAGCCTAGGCCTAAGCAACAGGAGTGGCTCTCACTGCTTAGGTGGGGAGGGCCCTCTGCCTCCTCAACGCTCATACCTACTTAAGCCAATGCCTAAAGCGAATATTAGCCCTTGGATATGGGGTTCGACAGACAACCCTGCCGCAGGCCTATGGTCCCACATCCCAACAGGGGCTTGGCAGGTACCTGCATCACTTTCCCGTCCTTGCCCCGGTAGAGCGTGTAGAGCTGGTATGCTCTGAACTCGTGGGGAGGGGGTGGGGGTGAACAGCGATGCCTGGGCCTCTTTTTAGGGTGATTATGGGTGTGCAAGTTCTTCTGGTGTCCAGGGTGTTGGTCTGCAGGTGGGGTGGGGTCAGAAAATGCTGACACCTGTGGGAGAGGAAGAGACAACACCCCTCAATGCTGTGACAATTGCGAGACTGACCCCCGGCCAGTGGCTCCCATGTCGCCTACTTTTGGGCAGAGAACCCTGCCGTGCTTTGTCTCATGCATTCTACTCCAAGCACCACGTGTCCAAAGAAATCCATCAGCACAACCTTGTGTCTGACGTTGCGCAGATTTAATTCTGTGCCCTGGCTCCAAACCAGCCAGCCAAGTGAAGGAGCCTTTTAGACGTTGGGCATGATGCTATCCCAGGGCCCTCCGCCAACCAGCTTCCCAGCCCTCTCTCGGCTGCTTTCACGTGCCTCCTGACCTTGGGCCTTGACTTTCTCTGCCTGTTGTCCTTCGCTCGGGGCTCTGGGGAGGCCGACAGGAAATCTTCTCTGGCCTCTTCTTTTCTGGGTGCAGCCTGATCACTACTAGGGGTGTCTCCTGCCGAGACACTTCCCTACAGAGGAAAAAAAAAGCCCAGAAGCCTGTTCTACTTGCCCCTTTGGCCTCTTTTAATCATGGCATAAAATTCTGTTTGCAAGAATCCATCCACCACAGGACCCATGAGAACTTTTACCAGTGAAAAATTTCAGCCATGGGGGCACTGCTTGATGGTCTTAACTGAACATATTTGTTTTTCCCAGTCAGTTGAATATTTGGCTTTTACTTTATTAATTAGGTGCCAAACTAAATATAATCTTGAGTCTAATCATACCTGAACTTCAGGAACCTATCACACACAAAACACCTCAGCATTAGAGATTTCTGGTCTGCTGTAGTTCAACCAAAAAACCCATTCCACTCGTTCTTTAAACTTGGACCCTCACAATTAATAGCAGAAAGAACCCTCTGAAATGAAAAGAAACATGTTTCTGGTCCTTGTGAAAACTTTTATAAATTAATATGCACAATTCACATAAAGGAATGTACTCAGAGTTACAATGCCTTAACCCTGAACATCAATGAGAGGATTTTGAAATAGCAGACAGAAGAGTAAGTACTCGGTATAAAACGTTAAGAGCCCCAAGCTCTCTCTATACCCTAGTCCTCTGCCTCCTGGGAAAGCTGGGAAAGCTTGTTTCATTCCAGGGTGGCTGAGTACAGGTTCACTGCACACGGGCACCCAGCCAGGGGGTTGGTGGGGCACAGGGAGCTGAAAATTCAGCTCGGGTTCTCGTCACTACATGTGCCCCGTGCTGGGTGGTCTGCCAGGGACCGCCTTTCCTAGTGTGCAGAGCAACTGCCCATTCCCTAAGTGGGAAGAGAGGGAGCAACCAATGCTCCTGGTTCTCAAAATGTAGTCCACATCAGAATCTCCGGGAGGGCTTGATCACATACTGATTGCTGGGCCCCACCTCAGAGATTCTGTTCCAGGGCGTCTGAGGTGAGGCGCCCAAATGTGCATTTCTCACAAGGTCCTAGGTGACACACTGCACACCACACTCAGAAATGCACTGCTCTACACAATCATGGGCACAATGTCTGAGAAGCAGCGCTGCCCAGATGGTATTGGTAAAGCCATGGATACACGGGCTAAAAACAATAACCACACAAGGGTGCTGGGAAGGATGGGCAACACACACACACAGGCACACCATCTGAAACCCTGGAGGAGGACCTGAAGCCAAAGGGAACAGATTGGCAATAGTTTGAAGCATCCCAGTGAAAGGAAGAGACAGAGAGGGTGTGGCAGCTGCCAGAGGAACCCAGAGGAGGCGGGGGAGGTAGTTCTCGCCCTCTGAGAGCAGGTGCAGCTGGGGAGGGGCGGGAAGGCTACCCCCCACCTTGCTTTGTGCCACCTCCTCTCTCGGCACAGACTGCGCTCTCCTCTCTTCCTTGAGCCTCTCTCTCTTTTTCCTCAGGCTTCGCCCACGACTGAAGCGCAAGACCTGAAGGAAGGCAAGAGGCATCGTTACAAACAGGCGCAGCAATGGCGTGAGAGAATTCCTTGGACCTGGTGCTCTGACCTAATGGAACTTCCAGGCTAGCAGGAGAGACCACGCATTCACATCAAGCGCCTTAGACCACCTGCAATGCCTCCCCGGTCTTGTGCTGGGCACTGTAGAGACCCAGAGATAGACATTGTCCCTGGCCTCAAGGAGCTGACAGTCCATGACAATAACAGGCATTTATGTGCCAGGCCTGAGGCACCACATAGGTCTGTGCAGGCTGTGCACTGCTTAACCCCAGAGAGCACCTTTCACATAGACTAGAGACTAGGATGTGAATGGCGTTCCCGGGAGGCTGCGCAATGCAGCTGTCCCATGCCAGGCACAGCCTCGCTCACTGACTGGCACACTCGGCCCAAACTAGCCCATCGGATGTCCTCTTGGTCAAGCCATATCCAAGTCATGTACAATTTCGTTGAAAATTACTGAGGTGCACCTAGGATCCATGGTACCAACTAAGGAGCAGGGATCTCTTTCCCGTAAGGAAGCATTTGGCCTGCCCCGTTAGAGCGCAGAGAGGCGAAACGCGCACAGGCAAGTGCACATGGGGCCAGCACACCCCGGGTGGAACCCAGCAGCCAGCTCGCAGGGTCCTTGGGCAAGTCACCTCACATCTTTTCAAATGTAAACACAGGAAGAGTTGTTGGGGTTAACCCACACAAAGGGGGTGGTTGGTGCACCTTGGACCCTCTGTCACTGTCAGCCACATCGCCGCCCACCTCGGTGACCTAGAGCTGCTTGAGTGGCAGAGGCTGTTGAACCAGAGCTGCTGGAAACCTACACTGGCTCAGCTCCGCACCCTGCCTCTAGCCCCTGCTCCCCCGGCCAGGACTCACCCCTTTCATCCGAGAGGTCCTGAAGGCAAAGAGGCTTTCCAAGGTCACACTATTTTTCTGCAATAAAGCATTCTATTGTGCTCTTATATAAATAGATAAGGGCTCTCTGAGGTTCAGCATATTCTTTTTCATCTTGGTTTCAGACTTTCTTCTTGTGTTCATTATATTCAAGTGACACCATTACAACAAAAAGGACCTCTACAGGCAGTACGTAGAGGGGAAATCCCTGACAGTAGCTCTTGTGAATAAACCTGACTGTTAAACCCTATTCTCCCCTCTTAAGTCAGCAGTTCTGAAAGTGGGGACACCTGGGCCCATGGGATTAAAATTGTTTTTCTCATATTAAGATAATGGGGGCCTTTTCCACTTTCATTCTCTCATGCATGTACAGTGGCGTATGATACTGCAATAGATTGCATGCAGAAGTCGGTGAGTCCTGTTATCATCTAAGTAGGACGGTAAGGAGATCTGCAAAACTGTAAAACAACGCTGCTCTTCTCAGTTTTGTTCTGAAAAATATTTTTCACAAGCAATGCTATTTCTAGTAACAAAAAATAGACTTCTAATTTTTAAATTAATAAACATCTTTAACATTTCTAAGTTTAATTTTAAATATGGTAAACTATTGATAGATAAAATTCACATCAACAAAGTTCCTTGTGAGCCTCCAAAGTATTTTAAAATGTAAACGGGTCTTTAAACCAAAAGTCTCAGGACCGCTGCCCTGAGCCACTTCTAAAGCTAAACTTAGATGCACTAGAAAGTCGAGTCTGATGAAAGGAAGTGACTGGTGCCATCGCTCACCGCCTTTATGGACTCTCACAACAGGAGGCAGTACCAGAATCGGCCTGAAATTCACTCTCAGAAGCACTTTTGAACCATGCCAGTCAAAAGTGAGAAGTGACACTCAGAGGTAACCAAACCAAAAATAATCGCCAGAAAAATTCCCTCCATAGGCCACATTACTAGCCCGTGAAAAAACATACATTTACCAAATGAAACATCATCAATCTTGTCCAATTCACAGAAATCAGGGAATATTGATCTTAAAGCTTCAGAAAGAAATATTCTTAATACTGCTGTGAACCACTGAAACCCATGGTCAACTAAGGAACCAAGGCAAAGGCATTTCTCAATTCTGGCAAACAAACAATAAGACTATTTCTGTAACTATAAAACAATAGAACAGCAGGCATACAATTTTATGCATATTCCAAAGTTCCTTCTGTGTGTTGAGAATAGGGTTTAGTATGGAACATTATATAAAACAAACTTTCATAAAACGTTATCCTATTTGTTATTCACTATGGGTATGGAAAAACTTGGCCTGGTCATTTTTTAATGGAAACACTAAGGAATCATACAGGAAAACTGTTGACATAAAGCTTCCCTGGGAATTAAGATCCTTGGGCTCTGGAAGACAAACACACAGGCAGGTCAAAGGCCCATCCGTCTCTGCGTGCCTGGGGTCCTCCTCCCCACAAGACCTGATGATCTTCATATGGTGAGCATGCAACGGACTGTCCATCAAAATGCCAAGCTCTGAAATGCCAGACAACCGGAGAATTCTGACACTTACAGGGCACCCTGTGTTTTCTGATCCACGAGAGACTGGCATCTTTCTCTCTGGGTTCATGGATTGATTCCACCGATGATTTCTTTGAAAATAACTGGAGAGAGGTGGAGCCTTTTCCAAGAGGAGCACTGACTGGCCCCTATCGGGGGCTCTGTGGACTTCCAGGGGCCACTGAGAAGGACCAAGTCCTTGGGCAAGAGGGTGGTCGATTTTGTGAAAGTCAAAAATGTTAACCATTCCCAGCAACTGCTTATGTCAGGCATGTTTTTAAAACCTGCATGAAGTCAAAGCCGTGCAGAAGCCTGGGCTGCCGGGGTCGCGCGGTCAGGCAGCAGGCTGTGTCCAGGTCTCCCCGGGGCTCCCCGACACTCTGTCTTCTTACAGTAGCCACCGGAATAAGGTGGAAAGCAAATCAGGGTCTCCTGTGATGTGACACAGGAGAGCCCCAACTGGGAAATAACCTAAACGTCCTACATTAAGGAAACTCTTAATAAAATATAGACAGCAATAAAAAAATACTCTTATGACAAATAAGAGTATTATAGTTAGAATAAAGGGCAGACTATGAGAGGGTACACATTGTAGGCAAAATTATATAAAAATTATGTGTCAGGGGAAGGTAATGTGAGGAAACAAAAGTTATTTCAGGGTGCTGATTATGACTAGCTTATAAATGATCACTCAACTCAAATGATATGAATTATCTTTTTTTTTAATGGACTGATGACCAAAATAGCATTATTTAATAAAAAAGAAAACTACACTGTACTTAACTGCCTCGAAGTGGACATTTAGAGCTTTGTCTGCTCGGAATGGGCCCCTCCCTCCCACCTTTCTCTAGAAAATGCCTCTGGTCACATGGTCAAGTGGACGCAGCCACCTTAAAGCCTCTGTCGCAATTTTCCGGGACACTTGCCCCAAGCTCCCTTGCGATGTTTTAAACTGGAACTTTCTCCTAGCCGAGTACTTGGGGAGTTGTACTCCGGGAAGCTGGTAGTGACAAAATGGGCCTGGAGCCCCTGGTTCTGGCTATCCTGGCGGCCCACAGGGATTCCTACATTTCCCACTGCCTGCTGAGTAAGCCCGTCAGTTCCCTATTTAATAAGTTGGTTCGAACTGGCTTCAGGAGATTGCAACCAGAGGGTTCCAATGACTCGGTAACCCCACATACTCGTTACAATGGAAAATGCACTAAATCCTACCTGGGGAGCTTTCGTGAGGAGAAGAGCAACTTCTGGGTTGTTGTGGTAGCGGGCAGCCTCCAGCGGGGTCTGGCCTGCCTGAGGAAAGGCACAGGGGGGGACGGGTGAGCACTGACCACCAGCCCTGCACTCCGTCCCGCCAGCACCGACGTGGCCCTGCACTTGGGCCTCCTCCTAACAAAGGAGCCAAGTTACGCCCGAGGACACAGCAAGAGAGGCTGAGTGCTGACCGAGTGGGCGCTAAGTGCTCCAGGAGGCAACGGTCGGGGCACTGCCCACCAAGCAACGCTTTCTGGGAAAGAGATGAGGGAAGGTAAAAATCACACAGTGTGGAGGTGGAAGAGTTCAGTTGAGGACACTCAAAGGATCATAAAATGCAACCCAGCAATGAATTTCCCCTGGAGAACAAGGGAGAAGCCGCTGGGAAGGGCAGATGAGGGCCCAGCCGGTCTCAGAAGCTGGACTGTGAAAACCAATTAGAAAGCTATGGCCAGAGCGGAGGCTCTAGGGAGATTAAGCCAAGCACCAGGAGTCGCTAACAGCGGGATTCAAGGGATGGGAAAGGTGTTCAAGGCATCATGGGAGAGATGCCATAAGGTACCACCCAATACAGGTACTAGAACTGTGAGAAGAAAGGGGGACACTAGACATGGGAGCCTTTGTCAGCTTCAATACCCTGGACTCCCCAGACATTCAACAACTACTCCATCCCCACAGAGTCTATATTTCAGGAGGGCAGAGACCAGAGCGGCCTTGAAAAATGGGTGTTCTGAGATGGTGGCTGCTATAGGATCTGAAAGAAAGAAAGAGGAAGGAGGGGGAGGAGGGGAGGAGGAAAGGAGGTATTGAGAGAGAAGGTAGACTGAGAGAGACTGCTTTGGAGAGAAAGCTCAAAGTTTTGAGGATGATTCGTCCGATGACTAGGTGGCCATTTTTCTGAGGACCACATCTGTACACAGGAACACCCACTTGCTAGTTTATTTGGTCAGCCCTGGTCCCTCTCACACCAGGGCGTGCTCACTTCCACAAGGAATCCAAAGATGAACCCTCTGGGCTTGTTCCCTCAGGGGGCTGCTAAGAGTCCGGGTCCCCTCAAGTCCCCCCTGAGGGCCCCCGGTATGTACTCCCGGAGTCTGCAGGCTCCGGGACAACATGCCCCCTTCTTGGGGTAGGAACAACATGAGGTAGGAACAACGTGCCCCCTTCTGGAAAGGGTAGAAAGGGTGGAAAGTGCTTTAGAAACCACTGCTGCAATTCAACTTACATTATTAACAATGGTCCCATCAGCTCCAGCTTCCAGTAAGATTTTAACCACCTTCTTGTGATTTAGGGAAGCAGCAACATGAAGTGCTGTGTCTCCAGCCTGAAATTAATCAGAAGAAAGCCTTCTAAATAAACCCCACCTGACCATGGCCCACAGCCCCCCAGATTTTCATCCCATGGCCTAGTGGAGGCTTTTCAAAGTGAACCTAAGATTTGCTGAAGACCGAGAGGGCCCTTTGCTCAAATGTTACATGGTTCTTTTTCAAGATCGTGGAACTAAATGAGCTATGCACAAATACGACATTCCTTTCCGACCGAAGATACCAGAAACCATAGGATTAAATGGAGGGGGTGCAAAACAATGCTGGGCTGGGACTGCTGAGAAGGGTCGGACCCGCACCCGTGCACTGAGGCAGGATGGTGGCAGGGAGCCCGGGGCCGGTAGGCCGGCCATCCTGGAGCCCTGGACCATGTGCCGCAGCGCAGGCAGGGGAGAGGGCGGAGAGCCCCTGGCTCAGGAGTGCTGGAAAGGGTGGGTGCTGCGAAGACGGCCCCTTCTACAAGCACCTGCGGGGATGTGAAGGGGCTACTGGGGACCATTCCGCAGGCTCACGGTGTTCTTTGTTGGGTGGGGTGACTGAGAGTCAGTCTTAACACCAGCTCTTTTCAACCTCTTACCAAACAGCCTTTAAGTTTTCTTTATACAAGAAATGTTTTCAGACAATTAGCTATGAAAGGAGGATTTGGACAATTCCAAGTGCAAATACTGGCCTTTTTTCCTCCTCTCCAAACAGAATGATATAAAAAAGTCAGGCAAATTGCAGGCGAAGTGTAGTAATTCATTCTCTACCATCAGGGGATCGGGCAAAGCACTCTGATACTTTTTCCTGGCAGCATGAAAATTTAGTCATCCCTGGGGCCCCCTGAGGACCAACGGGGATGTTACTTCATTGAGGAACCCCTTGGCTGTGCGCTGGGTGTGGGGCGCCATGCGACAGTGGTTTCCCATCTGGCCTGTACAATGGAACCAGGTGGGAAGCTTTATAAACTACTGAGGCCGGGGTCCCACCCCAGACGTTCCGATTCATTTGGTCTAGTGTGGACTGGGCACAGAGATTTTTCAAAGCTCCTGGGTGACTGAAATGTGCCACCTAGGTTGAGAAACACTGGTTAGCCGGGGCCGTGTAGGGGTAACCTAAGGAACTAGACCCACTGGGGGGCTGCAGGCAGAATGGCAATTTTGTTATTTAGCTCGGTCAGTGGTTCTTGCTCCTAACTGTACACACTGGCCGTTCCGTGGGTATTCTGGTCATTTAAATAGGGGGCAGTGGGATGGGGATCAGGAACGGTATTTTGAATTTCCTGTTGATTCCTATGTGTAGCTGGGGTCAGAAATCATCATTATAGGGTATATAACCTTTTTTTTTTTTTAATTTCAGAAACATGCACCCAAACTCAGGAAAGCCAAACAATGCAACACTTAGGTATCAATAAATAGCAAGACATTTTTTAAAAATCTAACTACTGAAAGTCTAGCACATTTCCGTAGAACACTGTAATCATAGTTTTATTTCAAAAGCCCATTATATGGGACAGATACAGATCATGAACCCCATTTTACAGCAACCAGAGACTCTGTGAGCTCAAATAAAGTGGCAGTGCAAGGAACAGGAACTCGAGTCATGTGACGCCTCATTCCCTTGCTTATTTACTACGCCACATTCATGCGGGTTTCCTTGTAAAATCACATTTAAAACAAAGCCCCGCCCCCAGGATCTCCAGAAAATGTTCAATGTGCAAATGTGGTGATATGCACTGGAAAGGGAAGGGCAGGCTCTCTCCAGGAGGAACACCCAGGCGAAGGCCGCTCTCGCCCTGGCGGAGTCCCGGCGGAGGAAGGCTCCCGGCAGCCTCTGCTCCGGCTCGTGCTCACACACCTGGCAGTCAGCCTTGTGGGAAGGGGGCCCGGCAGCCAGGGGGAGGACACATGCACTGACCTGGTTCTTTTCATGGACAGAACAGAAAGCACTGAGGAGGAGTTTAATGATGGACAAGTGATTATAGCGCGCGGCAACGTGCAAACAGGTGTCGCCTGCCTGCGGACAGAAATCAAACTCTAAGCACAGTCTGAGCGGTTACAAAACAAAACAGTGAAAGTAAAAAGAAAATATCACTTAAAAGCTGGCAGGCTAGCATATATTCTTTAGAGGGTGTTGGCCTGAACAATAAGCATCTCTTTCACCGCGGATGCCTCACTCCCGGACTCACCCTTTGCTGCTGTCTGCAGCCCCGCTGATTTCCCACCAGGCAGACTCTCTGCTTACAGGTTTTACACGCTGGATGTCTGCCCCCCCATGAGACCTTCTCAACAGCCAAGGCAGGTTCTGCTTTCCCAGCACTTGAAAAGAATCCACTGACCCCATCCTCTCCTACAACCCAAAGACTCTGAAGTATATTGAAGAGCAAGAGCACCGTTTTGGAAACGAGCTTTTCCCTTCAAAGATCTGTTATGGATCTACGGACAGGGAAGCACGGTCAGTTACTGAATTTTAGCATCACACGTGTTCTAAGAAATTCAAGTTGCCTCCCATTTTACTTGGACCCCAATATCCCATAGAGAGCAATGTAGCCTGCGGAGCTGATGGAGCAGCAGTCACAGGGCATAAAAAGGGGCGGAAGGGGAGGTCAGAAAAACTCAGGATCCAGGTCTTCCTTGTGGTCTCAGGCCAAAGCGGCCCCAGAGAGACGACAACAAAACACATTCTGTGATGTTCTCTTAACACTTCCTCCCCCACCTCGCCCCTGCTCTGTCTAGAGATGGCAACCACTCAGCATAACTTTCTCCCTAGATTAAGGAGGAGCCAAGCTCAAAGCTGAGGTTGAGAGCATTCTGAGAATCATCACAGATGAGTCTGCCCCCAGTCAGGGTGAGCTGGCTAAGACCACTGGTTAGAGAGATGTCTCAGTCAGAATCTCTAGTGGAGTGGCTGAGGCGTGGGACTTATGAAGGAAATGCAGCTTCTTGTGGAGAGAGGAGGGACACCCACATGACCGCTCGGGTCAAGCATCTCCTCAGAACTATTGACCCATCTGCGCATTCCAAGGATGCCTCAGTAACGGATTTGTAGACACTGCACCCCCCCCTGCAAGCTACAATGCTTTGTGGTCAGGGACCTTCTTATGACATATAGAGGTTTCCTAGACCCATTTGCCAACACGGGCAAGAGGAAATGATAAAACAGAGGTTGAGGAGCGAGGGGAAAAGGATGGAAGGAAAGCCAGGTTCCCAAGCCTTTTCTTTCCTCTTCTCACACTCCTAAATGACCCCTTAGAAAATTAGTAAAAATTACTTTATGGATTGTCCCCAGACACTTTACATTTTAATGTTCTAGATGTTAACACTCAAGTATGCTCGCAGGGTTATCTCCCAAGAGGACAAGAGAGCACGAGAGAAGCCGGTTTTGTTCACCCACGTTATTTTTGAGGTCGGCGCGGGAGCCGCCCAGCAGGAGGATGCGCGCGCTCTGGGAGTGGCTGTTCTGGCAGGCCAGGTGCAGGGCCGTGTTCCCTGCCTTGGAGAGAGGCAAGAGAAGGGAGGACACGTTAGCGATGCGGTGCTCTGCAGACCTGCACCGAGCAGGCCTTACAGAGGGGTGATACTTACAGCGGAAAGGTCAAAGCTCCCATTCTCTGCTTCCTCATCAGCAGACCCAGCAGCGGCTTCAGTGGTAAGAACACTTAATTTGGAACCCAAACGGGCAGAAAAGTTACATCTTTTATAGAACCTTGGTTCCAAGTCCTGGCTTTGCCACTTAGTAGGTGAAAGCCACGGGTCAAGGCTCTTACAATCCTCAGCCTTGAATTCCTTACCTGTAAAATGGCGTTTGGCCCCTATGATGCGGAGGCTGGGACAATCAACTCCGAGTGCCTAGGAGGGCATTTCCTTCATGGTAAAACGCTGTGCGTATCCACGTGTTACATTCCTCTTGAGAGGACCGCATCATTCCTACCCACCACGGACCGAGCTGTGGCTACAATGCTATGCTGGTGAAGTGAAAGAGGGCAAAACAGGCCACCTCCTACGTGTGGGCCAGAGGTACCTGAGATGACACTGGATCCTTTTTCAAATCGTCCATTCTTGTATTTTACTTAAAGCAACCAAATACGAACTATGGAAAGATCTCCACGTAACAAACAGGCAATACAACTGTGTCTGTTACTTAGCAGACAGAGACCCTCTGCTTTCCACATGCCACATCCACATGACGGCCAAGGTCCAAATGATGCACACAGCAATCTTGAAGACAAAATTCATAAACAGAGCCTTTTGACATTAGGGGAGCAGGACCTGCAAGGCTGCTGCTTAACTCCTAGAAAAGTAACCAGAAAAGCAGGCAGCTGGAGAGGAGCTTTGGGATTTGCCCGGGGGAGTGTGCAAGCGCTCAGGAAGCTAGAGACACAGTGCCTGTTCTGCTGGGCTTCACGGCCAGGTCAGGACCGTGGCATGGGCTCCAGGCCGTCCCCCCACCTAGTTTACCCCTTCTGGACTACACAGCACTGCCTGCCCCCACTCACGGATGTTATGTTCCTCACCTTTAGAAAAGAGGAATGAGTTATTTAAAAAAAAAAGGAAAACTGTCTGTTGCCAGTTCACTTACCTTCCCGCTTATAACCTTGGCTCTAACCAGCCCAGGCAGAGTCTTTCTTCCTCACTGTTACCTCCAGGAACTGGAGGAGTTGCAAGTGTGAGATTTTGGTGAGTGCCGTGGCTAACAACCTATCGCTGCCCATATGCGTCACCTGGGGAGCCTTCACACAGACCCCTGCACAGCTGTGACCCTCCTGGGGACTCTCATTGACCAGGCTGAGGGGTGCAGCCTGGGTTGCTCAGGCTTTAGCATTGAAAGTCAAGCATTTTGGGAAACCCGTCAGGCGCAGGGAAACCCTTCAGGCGCAGGCAAACCGGGGCAGCTGGCTGCCCCCGGCCAGGCCATCAGGGTATATTCGGGGTTTTCTTTTAAAGTTTCCCAGGAGATTTTTAAAGTGTGCCCAGGTCAAGAAACACGGCTAACTTAGGTCTCAAAAATGAAGGCTCTGCCCATGTTTTAAACATTCTATTTCCTGTAAAAGGGCTCAGTGCTTGGCTCAATGTATAATTTCCACTGTCCATGCAACAGATTGTCTCAAAGTTGCTGCCTTTGTGGGAGTCACTAAATGAGTTGAATAAATGAATGAAATAAAAGAAATCTGATGGTTCTAGAGATAGCACACCAAAATTTACTTTGTCAATAAGAAAGTGTCAATTATGCTGAAAGTATTATTTGGATCAAGAAAATCAACACCCACGAGTAAGGAATAAACAAAATATGGTGCATTCCTGCGATGGAATATTACTCAGCAATCAAACTGAATGAACTAATCACACATGTAACAACATGGACGAATCTTAAAAACAAGCTAAGTGAAAGAGGTAAGATACAAAAGGCTACGTATTGTGGTTCCATTTAGATGACATTCTGGGAAAGGCGACCAAACAATGGTTGCCGGGACCTGGGCTGGGCCCGTGGGTAAATGGGAGGCTGCTACCAAAGGGCACGAAGGAACCTTTCGGGGGGGGATGAAAACATTCCATGCCTCGATTGTGGTGGTGGTTATGCAACTGTATACAATTGTCAAGACTCACAGGATAGTATTCCTAAGAAAGATGAGCTTTACTGTATATGAATTACATCTCAAAACCTAACATTAAAAACATGTGACTGAGGTAGATATGCTAACAGACATTTTTCCCACCCGAAGTATTGGGTTGGCCAAAAAACTGTTATATTTTTTTCCATACAATGACTCTAGTAGCTGTTGTCTTTAACTTCATCTGAAACAATTTTGTCAGAGTGTATTGACAGCTGTCATATCAGCATGCATTTAAAAAAACTTCTCAAAACTGCTGACTTTTTGTGCAGCCACTTTAATATTGAAGATGGATGAAGATATGCAACATTTTTGGCTATTATTTCAAGAAAGGTAAAATCACAACTGAAACGCAAAAATAGATTTGTGCAGTGTATGGAGAAGGTGCTGTGGCTGATCAAACGTGTCAAAAGTGGTTTGTGAAGTTTCTTGGTACTACTGACAATTAATGGCCAAATAATTCTTTGTTGTGGGTCTGTCTTATGTCTTGGAAGACGTTTGGCAGCACCCCTGGCCTCTACCCAGTAGCAGCCAATGGTGGGAGACAGCCAACACGCTCAAAATATCCAAATCAATAAAATTATTGTTGCAAATGGAAATATATATTTTACAGGAAAAAAATTGTAATGGACTCTTTGGCCAACCCAACATATCACTCTATATGCTTTAAATGTTATAATTTTGTCAGTTATACCTCAATAAAGCTGGGGCAGGGGAAGTACCTTTCTAGAGCTTTCCCCAGAGGTTGTGTCCGGTGCAGAACACACAGGTCGCTCTTTTGAAATGACACCTCCCCTGTGCTTTCCACCGACCTCTGCTGTTTCACCCGCAGCAGGGACTCCGGGCTTTCCACATGCCCCTGGGTCCTTGCATAGGCCAGGGGGCAGGGTGGCTGTGCAGACAGGCCTGGGCTAGGCTACGGTCCACACTGAGTCACAAACGAATCTTGTGTTTTAGTCAAGGACTATACTAGCTCCCCCCTGAGGCTTCCCTGTCCATTAACTGGGAACCACTTTGTTTCTCCTTGTAGCAGCAAAAGGAGTAGGCTACCCCTGCGAGAGGGGGCAGTCGCAGAGGACAGTGAGCCCAAGCTGACAGCACAGGAGGCACATGCTGGGAAAGGCACAGGAAAGAGGCTCCGGACGTAGACTGAGGCCACTCTGGGGAGGCCCTGAGCCAGTCAGGTTGAGGCGCTTTCCTTAAAGGTTTCAGAGCAGGATGGGTACAGGACTGGGCCAGCTGGCCAGTCTGTGGTGACACTTCCAAAGTCTAGGGACACATCAATGAGGAGCATGGAAGGAGAGGGAGAGATGCAAAAAAAAGTGAGATGTGACAAGTAACTAGAGAGGGGAGATGGAGGAAAAGAGGGAGAAGAAATGCTACTGTCCCTCCCCTGTCCCCACGAGGACAACCTCACTCTGATAAACCAATGGCAAAGCAGTGAGAGCCAGGAGAGGTCCAAGGAAGCCAAAGCCACCCCGGGAGGTTCTCCTGCTCACCGTGCAGACTGTGCACATGAAGCCGTTTCAAGCTTTCATTTCTTTGCAGGTTCCACATGCTCCCCTGAGCTCTCTGCTCTGTGAGAAGAAACTCCTGTCCAGAGAAGGAAGCCCGCAGCCACCCTCACCTGGTAATGACTTCTAGCACCTGCAGGGCCTCACCTTGTTCTTCGCAAGCACATTGGCGCCCGCTTTGATGAGCAGCTTGACTGACTGGCTGAACCCATGCCAGGATGCTTCGTGCAGGGCCGTATTCCCGTCCTGAGGGACACACACACATACACACACACACAAAGAAAGCACGTTACCCACACCCTCATTCATCTCATTAACGTCAATACTTCTGAGTGTGTTTTCAGGTCACACATCAGAGTCTTTCTCAACTAGGATTTCTCATCCGAATCACAGCCCAGAAAATGACTTGAGTGGCCAGTTTCTCCATTCTCTCAGAAATGGCACATAACAAGTACAATTCCTGATGCAGTCAAGACTCAGGGTGTGCAATGGATGCCTTAGGCATTGGGGCTTACGTCTCTATGGGAACCCCGGTTGAAAAAGGCACAGTTGCATTTAACAGGAGGCAACATCAGGACAGAGTGTGTCCATTCCTTCCCACTTCCATCACATCTTGGGCTCTGCTCTGCTCCTAGCCTCAGAGAGAACCCTGCAAAGATCGGGCAAATACAGGGTCCAGGTTCACAAATTCCAGGGCCCAAAGACCAGATAGGTAGATTCCCCTTTTCCTTTTTCTTCCCAAATTTTAATCTCATTCAGTTTTATCCAAAAGCCTCAAGGTCCCAAAGAAATGAGCAGGCACTGAAAAAACCGTAATTTGTAAATAAGTGTCCTCAATATGTGGCTTTTAAATAAAGGTAAGCCAATTGAAGATTAACTTGTACCTGCTCAACTTGTAAAAAAGGTATTAAGTGCAGTGGGTTGAATGGAGTAGGGCAGCGAGGATTAGGGCTTGGGGCAGGGGGAAGCACAGAGAAGAGAGGGAGAAATAACCTCCACGCTGCTCCCGGCCAGGGCACAGGGCAGTCGGCTGAGGGCAGCGCAGGCATGTTCTCGAATTGTGCCCAGGGCCTGGTTTAGACTTTCATTCAACCATATCAACAGACAGGGCCTGGTGCTGCTAACACTCACGAGGGGAGGTGGAGGGTCTTAGAGACCACAGTACCTAAGGCCAGGGGGTGGGGCATGCTGGAAAAGGAAGTAGCAACGTGTGGCTGGCCAAAGGGACAGACCGCAGGAAGCAGGAAGCAGGAAGCAGGAAGCGAAAGGAAGGGTGCCCTGCCCCTTCCCACCATACCTGTAGGGTGGGAAGGGGCAGGGGCTGCTGCTGACGACTTGAGTCCAGATCTGAGGGCTCACACAGCTGTGCTCAGGCAGTGAAAACTCATTGAGCTGCACTTGTTATTTGTGTTCTGTTCTGTGCGTATACTTGAGTAAAAAGTTGTTTAAAAAAGTAAACAGGCCCTGATGGGTGTGGCGCAGTTGGTTGGACGTTACCCTCTGCAAAGTGAAAGGTTGGAGGGTCGACTCCCGGTTAGGTTAGGGCACATACTTGAGTGGCAGGCCAGGTCCCTGGTTGGGGGCTTGTGAGAGGCCAAACATAAAAAATTGATGTTTATCTTGTGCATTGATGTTTCTCTCCCTCTCTTTCTCCTTCCCTTCCCCTCTCTCTAAAACTAAATAAAATCTTTTTTAAAATGAAAAATACAGTAAACAGACTGAATTGCATTAAATTGCAAATTTCCATGTTTTAAGATTGTTTGACACTTTAGGAATACTGGATAAATATATATGTCACTGGGATTTCTTAGAAATTGACTTTGCTTATTTTTTTCTTCCAATACAGCTTTAAAACTTAACTTGCTCACTTAACCAAAAAAATAAAAAAATAAAAAAAGGAAGAGGAGGAAGCAATGCGGGGGTTGGGTGGGTAGAGGCACATGTCTTTACGTCTAGACTTCTTTTTTTTGGTACCATTTATGCTTATGTGGTTGCCCACCACTGCCACAGAACAGGAGGAAGGATTTTTACAAATTTTACTAGGATATCAAATACTTGCTCATAAGAAATTTGGGCTGATTTCACCATGTAAAAACATGAGTGATAAGACTTAGGAATGATAACATCTTGCAACGGGCCCTCGGGCAGGCACGCCCCAATTCACCTTGTCCTGCCGGTCCAGGGCGCAGCCCTCCTGGATGAGCGCGGCGATGACCTCGGTGTTCCCCACCACCGCGGCCCGGTGCAAGGCGGTCTGATCCCCCTGCAGAATGTCGTGGAGGTAGAAACGGGTCAGCTCTCCCCACCACCCGCACCACCCACTCACTCCGCACTCACTCACTGTGACACAGGACACCGCCCACACAAAGCAGACTGGTCACCACCCTGGGCAAGGCGGGTCTGGTTAGTAGACAACACACGCCAGGCAGAGCAACTGTGTTCAGTGGGAACCTCACACCAACTGCAGAACAGTCCTTAGCTGCAGAGCTGACCTTAGAATGAGGGTCAAGCCCTCACCTGCTGCCCGAGGAGGTGGCAGCGTTCAGCCAGACTGTGGCTGTCATATTCATGAAGAGCGGGTCTGAGAGCAGGACTGTGTGTGCTGTGCAATTATAGCAGCAATGCCTGGGATCTCTACTACCTACTGAGTCCTCTAGCTCCCTGCTTTCAGAGAAACAGCCATCCAGCTACGTGAGTGAGCAGCACCCGTGGTTTCATGGCGGAGGTGTGTTTGTTGATTGACTTGTACGGGCCAAGAGCAATGCAGGGGTTTATGCTGCGTCATTGGAGGATTCCAGGGATGCGAGTTATCGCTGCATATTTCTAAGCCTCTTCTGATATTTCACGACAGCACTCTGAGTGATTTATGCTGCATTTGACCCCTTGCTCTGTGATCAGATTCCTGGAACTGCAGACCTTCTCTTTCTCCATCGGGGTGCCAAAGGGAACTTGACTCTCTCCCATTAGTGCAGCTGAGAAAATAACTACATGCTCCTAGAGGTAAGACAGTTAAGACTGGAATGAGAGTTACTTTTGAAGTCCCCTAAGAGCATATCTTATCTCTGACAGGCACTCAGCAAGTTAAGACTAATCGAGTCCAACCCAGGGTCCCCGTTCAGACGGGGAGGTGGGAGATGAATGGGAAAATGTTTCTGCACCTGTAAAAGGAAGGGGTGGATGATCCTCAGGGCCCCTCCCTTCCCTCGGGTTCTGTGATTTGGTTGGTAAGAGTTTTGCATAAATGCAGTTTCTTGGTGGAGAATCAGAGGGGCAATAATATACCCGGGGGCGTCCCTGGTCCTTAGCCCAAGAGAAGAGAGAAACTATAAAACAGAAAAGATGAAAATTTTTCAGCGAGAAATGTACTGCTGCCTATAAATAACCCTAATGAAGTTCTAATTCTACTTACTAAACTCCCTGGAATTTAAAACATCAATGTACCTTAAAAGCACTTAATTGGGAAAAAAAAATTCTGGAGATGGACAATGGTAATGGTTGCCTAGCACTGTGAACGTACTGAATGCTACTGGGCTGCATGGTTAAAACAGTACAGTTTATGTTATGGACATTTTCTCACAATTAAAAAAAGCACCTAATGCTATTTAAAACTCAAATTCACTTTCTTAAAATTAAGGAATCTCCCTTTAAAAATCCATGAGAAGTGATTTTTATTTTCTTACAGTTTTTAATACCTTCCTACTTTTTGTACCTAACATTTGATTTGTAGCATTGGGAAAAACTGCTACTTATTAAAAGTGAAAACTATAACAACATATCAGTAAGGGGACTCCATGTCTCAGAATCTTTTCTCACTGCTCACGAGCAGAACATCAGGGATTCCCGCAGTGACGGCCAGGACATCCCATCCGATTACCAGGACTTCGTCAACTGGCCGCAGCCTCTCTTTCACCAGCCCTGTCCTCAGCATCCTAAGCGATTATTTCCATTATAAATTAAGTGTGGACTTCGCTTTCTCCACTTTCGCAGGCCCCTTATTCAAAAAGGACCCTTTCTATGAGGCATGCAGGCAAAAGAAGAACAAGGCCACGGGATCAGCGGTCGCAGGTGTGCACGCCATCACACACCACCTTTAAACACCTGACGCGTTTCCAGACAAGGTATACTTAATGCCCAAGCAAGTTATCATAGAGAAATTGCTCATGTCTAAATAGTTTAAAGTTTCTGTAAAAATTTCTAACACTGCCCTGGCTGGTGTGGCTCAGTGGGTTGAGTGCCGGCCTGTGAACCAAAGAGTTGCTGGTTCGATTCCCAGGCAGGGCACATGCCTGGGTTGTGGGCCAGGTCCCCAGTAGGGGGCACTTGAGAGGCAACCACACACTGATGTTTCTCTCCCTTTCTTTCTCCCTCCCTCTCCTCTCTCTCTAAAAATAAATAAAATCTCTAAAAAAGTGATTCTAAGACTGCTCATTTCTCCAAGAGAATAGTGATGGGTTCCCCCAAAATGGACCTCAAGTGCAATTTCTGACTGATCTGAGGAGAAAGGTGGCCCTCTGCTCTCAGCCAGAAAGGTGAGACTGGAGCTCACTCACGGTATAAACACTGACTTGGCCACACTGCTAATGGTTAGAGGCCTTTCAATATTCCCACAAACTGCTGGCACTCTAACCAGCACTCCTCGGACCAGTCCGAATGTTTTTACATAATGAAACTGAAGCACTCTGTCCATGTTGTGCGTGAAGTGTGGGCAGTAAGCCCTGGACACACAGGTTGCATCAACCACTCCTGCCGCACAAGCTTTTGAACCCAGGGTCCCTGCTGATGAGGGCACAGTCTACCCTAAGCATTGCTTTAGGTCAAATGTTTTACTGTGTTTCACAAACTGCCACTAAATCATGAATTGAGGCAGCTTTGGAACCAGAGTGTCTCCATTATTTATTACTCGCTTTTAGCACAAATCAACTGTATTTACTTCCCTTGAGATAAATTTCCTTTGCAATACTCAAGCTCAGTGAGAAGCTAAACCTAACTCTTAGTTCAGCCCTTAGGAGTCGATTTCCAGATGGATTATCAAGATGCTAAGAGATCTAAAAACTGTGTGAGGATGCAGTGAGAACGCAATTGTCCTTGACCAACCAGAACAGGTGTTTTCCTGCATCTTCCCTCCCTGTGGAGACCTTCCAGCGGCACTGCCTGTCCCCAGGCCACAGCCCATCCCCTCAGTTTGGACCGTCCCGGAAACAGCCCTCCCTCAAAGTCTGAGTCTTTGCCTCATCAGTAGATAAACACTGGTGAAGACCAAGGTCAACAGTTCTCCACCGTAAGTGGCTGTCCTTTAGCTGCACTGCGAACTTTGTTAACAGTAAATGAGGTGGTTCTGGAGGACTGAGGGAGACACCTTCTCTGGTACATAAAAACCAGCCACCCTTAAATTACCCAGATGAGAAATAAAGGCTCCAAGGGACATGAAATACATAAGCAAAGCGCTGCCTTGGGCTATCTTGAGAGCTACTCTTCCCAAGAACACAAGACAGACAATTGAACAATTTGAGAATCTTGATTGCAACAGGATCTGTTACATGCGAATCAATCCACCCCCCCCCCCATAAAACTAAAATTTACTGTTGAAATATTTCCTCTTTGAAATAGGCCACAGAAAAGAACAAAATGTGGCCTCAATACATACTTATTAACAGACCTAAGAAGCAACTGTGACATAATCTTTATTTCTATATGGTTTAAATTAAACATGAAATACTGAAACTTTGGGGAAATATAAAATAAAGGGCTGGGATAAATACAGCACTCAACAGCATTTACTCATTTATTCGGTGAATGCTCACTGACTCCCTACTATGCTCCAAGTGCCATGGCATCTAATTCCCTCATTTTTTGGATTCAAAAAACAAGGTCCAACGCAGGTCAGTGCCCAGCCTAAGATAACCAACCAGCTCATTCAAGCAGTGTGGTTGGGCCAGAAGTCAAATCATCAAGGCTCTTTGCACTCACCCCTGTTTCCAACTTGTGAAGCCAATTAACCTTAGGACAGGTCTTTAAAAACATCAGCCACCTCTGCGGGGCTGGGGCTGCTCTTTACAGAATCATCAAACTGAGTGAGTCAGTGCAGTGCCGTGGCCACTACAGGTGCCCAAGAAGTATTTGTCAAATGATTAACTACAAAGAAGCAGAAGGAAAAATGCTGCAGCTGGACACTCAAAGAGCCAGCAACCTCGTAGTTTGGCTCTTCCATTTGGAACATGCTGACCCGTTTATAAAGTACGTGAACTGGCAGCTTTAATTTTTCTGACGTCAGTGTTTCTTACTTTGGGGTTTTTAAGAAGTTTGGACGCTCTGAGGTCTAAATCTTGGTTCTGAAATACTTTTAGGATTCTCTCCTATGTGGTGAAAAAGAGTGAGCAGACTCCAAAGCTAAGCTCATGGAGGAAATCCCAGTCATGCAAGGGTGGAACATGCCCCTAGTCAGGAGGAATCCCTCCCAGGTGACACAGGCAGACATGTTGCAAGGAAGCTCAAGGCAGGCTAAGTACACAAAGCAAGCTGCTGACCTCTTTTTCTGTCTCTGATCTTCTAGGGTTCTTCCTAGCCTTTCTTCTCTGGTTTTTCTCATTATTTTCTTCCTTCATGCCTTTTACCGTGGCCACAGGGTCCTGGACTATCTCTGAGATGGGGGCTGTTTGATTGCTCATTGACCAATCAGAGATGGCATTATAGCTCCAATGAGAGTTGACAGGATTGGCGGGAAGCAAGAGGGAATTTGCTCCTGGGGTTGCATATTCTAAAGAACTGGTTTCCACGGGTTCAAATTCATAATAATCCCACTCCAGGCCACTGGAGGTCATTCTTCAACTATTCTCAGTCTTTACCATGACATAAAGAACAGTATCTGTAGAATATGAAGTTAGGGGTAAATGCTTCATAATATTAACATTCTCTGTTTCCACCCATCATCTACGATAACATCTCAGAATACAGGTAACTTGTGAAATGATTTTTTTCAATAATGGGTTTCTCAGCTTCTTGAAAGAACACCCATAAAGAATTTTCTTCCTCAAATTCTTGTATAATTTTCAAGGCTGATCATCAAGCACAGTAAATACCTAGAAGACAGACATGAACCATATTCTGGCAAAGGCATTACTTCCAAACTAGTGAAGGTCCATTCCACCTTCTCCCTTCTCACCTCATTTTACACTGCCTTGCTGCTGTATTCTTATGTATTCTTATTTTGTTTGGATTAAAGTTATCTGGGAGAAGCAATGTTTGGCTTGTCCTGTTTCAGGTGGAAAAGATGAAAGAAAATAAACACTAATGCCGGACAATGAAAGAGAGCGACCTTGTGAAAAGTGGAGCTGGCCCTTCCTTCTCCTGACATGGCTCCCCTTGGTCACCCTGTGAGGGCTGCTGCCGGCTGTACTTCCTGTCTTGTCTGGTACAAAAAGCAGAAGTTCCAGGAAGTTAGCACGGCTCTTGCTGCGTTAGACCTCAGGCAGAAGCTCTGGGTCAGGACAGGTTAGTGTGCCTGGCATTGCCGCCTGGCCACCGTGGCAAGCAAGGGCTTCAGTTCTCCAAACAGAAGGCCAGATATGTGCACCAGCAACTCCAAGGCTTGTCTTTTCTGTGGTCAGAATCTCTTCTCTCTCCCTGTATCTTTGCTCTCATCTAAGGATATGATATAATCATCAATGTTATGATGGCTACAGTATAGGAAAATTAAAAAATAGGATGACCCAAGGTAGAAACCAACAACTTAAAGCTAAATCAATGTTTTTGAAAATAATGTTCCTGACGACCTGACAGGTTCCAAACAGGACCAGGGATTTAGGAATGATACTGGACAGCCTTCTGCCCATCATAAAGCAATGACATATTTACTTATTTCTTTGAGAATGCTGTCCTCACTTGCGTGTTTGCTCAGTTTTAGAACATTACAGAGGCCCGAAGGAAACTCGAAGTACTTTGGTAATGTGCACCTTAGCCTACCTGACAGTCTGAAATTTGATAATACTCTACAACCACAGTTATTAAAGGTGAATCTGGAAGAGGTTTTAAGTGAAAACTCTCCAAGGTTCTGTGTTCTTCACAACAGTCCTTATTTCTTAGAGGTCCTACTACACAGACTGGAGTTAGAAACAAAATTAGAAATGGCCCCACATTGTCATAGGACTTTTCCCGAATAGTTAAGTGGAGGACAATTTACATAACCTTTTCTATATCCCCTTCTTAGGAAAGCTACCTTTCCCAAAGGCTCAATAGGGTACCCTCACATACTACGTGACCCCACCCTTCCACTGCTGATTGGCTCAGGAATGGATCTGGACCCTAAAGGAGCCAACTGGAGTCTCTCTTTAGATCATTTGCATGAAGAGACTCAGAAGCTGAGTCTTAACAATGGTGTAGCATGAGAGAGGCCTCTTTCTGGAGGCCTCCTTTTTCTTGGGTTCTATGAAATCAGATCAGTTTTGTTTTCTTTGAATAGGTTGTTTTAAACTAAATGTACACTGACTAAGTGAGATCAAGGTAAGAAAAGGAACAAAATTAAGCTGTTAAGTCCCACCCTTTCTCCAATGGTACCCTTGGTAAACTTGGTAATTACTCACATTTCCAGCAGGCCTTGCCCAGGTGCGCACGTGTGTGTGCGTGCGTGCGTGTGTGTGTGCGTGTGTGTGTGTGTGTGTAGTGTGCTCCTTCCTACTAAGACCCAGGCAAAACGCCCCCGAAACTCTGCACTTGGATGATACCAGATTGAGAATGAACCGTGACGGGGGGAACTACCCCGCATTTCCAGGCTCTAACTTGCTACTGAGAATGGGTCCCAGAGTAGGTCTTTACAAATAAATTCTTCCCATCGTGGGGACCCTGATGGAGACAAAAAGTGCTGACGAGCACCTAGTGCCCTCCCCAGCCACAGCTGGTCACATGCTGCACTGTGGACTGCTAGGCAGACAAGCTCCTCTAACAACCCATCCCCGAGAGAATGACGGCGTCTACTCACATCATCCTGAACGTCGAGGTCGCAGCCAGCCTTCAGCAGGATCTGGACCACAGAAAGATGACCTTTATTGGCAGCAAGATGCAGGGGCGTCCGGCCATGCTGTTCAGGCAAAGCAAACGCCGATTTTTAAAACAGGACATTAAGTCACGCCCCTGGCGCTGGGTACACAGTGGCGTTTCCCCCTCCCCTTCAGTTTGGCAGAAGATTCTTATGGATTTACCCTGAATTCAAGTCTGTCTCAGTTAACCTTGACTACTGGCACTGCAATCAATGAAGAAAACAGGCTCAAAATGTGAAAATTTCCTTCAGTGAATAATTTTTTCTCCCCACTCATTAAAACAACATGTAGAAAAATGAGGTTTCATATTTTCTTCTATTTACCTGCTGGTGCTAATGCTCTGGGCTGATGAAGTGGCCGCCATGAATTTGATGGCATGAGACGGGAGAACAGCAAAAGGCCAAGCTAATCAGCTCCAGAAAAATCCACTTAGCAATTACTCAGAATTCAAACTGCTGGCCAAACTGATTAGAACACATGCTCCCCCTTTTTAAAAACAAATTTGAAAATTACAGAAGTATTTCAGCCATTCAAAAACATGAATAATATTTTAAAATGTACATATTCACTAGTCACTTTAAAAAAACATTAGGGAAAGCACAGATGTTCCTGTGAACCCTCCCAGGTCTCCATTCCCCTCCCATCCCGAGGGAGCCACGCTTAAATTTGATATTCATCATTCTTTTGCCTTTTATTATATTTTACTACATGTTTGTAGCCATAAACAATACCTACACATTGTTTCACTTGTTCTGACAACTTACATAGATAGTATTAAACTGTACAATATCGTTTGGCAAATGTTTTGATACAACATATTTTTGAGATTTTTTTTTTCATATTCTAACATGTAGTTCCAGTTCACTTATTCATCGTTCACCCAGTCTCCTACTCATGGACATGCAGGTGGTTTCCAGTGGTTTGCAGAGCACAGTTGTGTGCACACCTCCTTGTGCACCTGAGAAGGCTTTTGCACCCTGGTGTTGGGTCACAGCGATGATCATTCATTGCACCTGTCCTAGGCATGTGGCTGCTGAGGTCGGACCCTAAGGGTAACACCCAGAAGACCCCCTTCAGTACAACTTAACCTCTGTTCACAGAACTGACCGTGCCGAACTCTAAATTCTCCAAATGCTAAAGGAGACACTATGCCCCCTTTGCTTTCTCCCTCAAGTTCACTATGAAGAAACATTTCCACCCTGTTTCAAACATCGTTTCACCTTGGCCCCAGACAGGCTGAAACACACTGGAGGGCTGAGAGTCTCACAAGGCCTTACATCCTTTTTAGCACCTCGATAAAACTTCCAAAGACCTTTATTGATATTCTAGCAGGATAAACCCATTTATGATTTCCATAAAGTGCCAGTTTGCCATGGGTAACGAGCCGTGGGGGAAAACAGATAGCAAACAATGAAGGATCTTAATTTCTACCCATGAAATGCAATCAAAGCACTAGAATGATTCTGGAAAGAGGTCAGAGCTCACTTTAAAATTAGAATTCTTAATTAAGAAAAAGTTACTCCCAAGAAAGCGGGCTATAAAAAGGCTTTATAAAAAAAGCAACGTCTGAGATGAGGAGTGACTGTCCTTGGCTGACGGCTGTGCTCAGTGCACACTACGTAACCTTGATTCTTTAAATGAAATGTCCACAGCTGATCAGGTGGAGCACAATAACCAGGTCCCGCTCCCTGGGCCCGGTCCCAGGCTCCATCCGTCATCCCGTGTCCTTGTCAAGGAGGTAGGTAAGTGACCTTCTCAGAGGTTCCCAGGCATTCTGAAACAGGCAAGTTCACTACCTGTGGGAAGAGGAAGGCATGTGCGCTTTGAGGAAGGCTGACAGAATGAGGGGACCCAAGAGCGTCTGAGCACCTGGAAACAACCGAGCCTGACGGGGAGAGCTGCCCAGAGAGAGGCTGGGGAAGGCCACAGCCGAGGAGTTGGTGGGCGCTGGGGTCAGAGGAGCCCTGAGGAACATCTCGTCAGCAACCAGGTGTTACTGGTGGGAAGCAAGGCCCAAGTGGGCGACAATGTTTGTCCAAGTGAACACAAGTAATCTGAAGTCAGGAGAAGGAAATGCTGCTGTGGTTCAAACCAGGTCACATCCAGGGGGCGCTTTAGAAACTCCTCCTGACAAAATGAGCCTCCATTGGAGATCCCTTCCTAATCCAAAGTCGGCAGGGAATCCCCTCTGTGGAGAAACAAAAGGCCAGAGGCACTGGAGCCCCCCGAGTTTAGTTTAAATCTCGGCTCTGATTAATAACGTGTGCGTGTGTTTCCGGGCACTACACTCCCCTAACCCTGTTCCCTCGTCTGTAAATTATAAACGTCCTCCACTCTCCAGCCCAGGGACTGCAGTAAGATAAATGAGGTAACACCCACCACCTAACACGGGATCCCCTTCCCTCCAACTGTCCTCAGCCCTGAGCCTGAGGGCACCCCAGCTGCCCCGCCTTAGCAAAGACCAGGGATGTGTTTTCAAAGGTGAACGGGCCTGGGCAAAGAGCTGGATCTCGGATCCCTCAGACGGCCAGAGGGGCCCTCGCAGGAGGGTCGAGGCATAGACCAGCCAGGCCTGGTCCACTCGCCCACTTCCACTTTCGAAACACAGTCCACAGTCGTAGGTCTCATGTCTCTGCTGGAAGTGACTTCTTGAGCGGGAATGCCCTTCCCCGATACCCCGAGAAGAAATGTCCGCGGCCTTACTGTTCCCACTCCCACAGCACGAAGGTCCCTTTTAGGAAACCGCTGCATTCTTTTTGAGTGTCAGCCTGGGCGCTGGCTTCTCCCAACTAGGCGATGATCTCCCTGAAGATAGGCTGTGCTTCCCATAAATGATGAAGCAAGTTGACTCTGGGGTACAGGGGGGGCATATCCAAGAGGTTCCACTGTTCCTCCATCACAGGGCAGGCTGGGGCTACCAGGGACACTGGATCAAGTCCTACAGTTCCAGGCTTGGCCTCAGAGAAATAGAGAGCTTAGGATGGCTGGGGACTCTGAGTTCTGGGGTGCTCGGCCCCTCAAAGGAGGTGTTGACATCCTGGGAGCTTCACGAGCATGTAAGCCGCTGCAGCAGTGACCTTGGGGTTTCTCTGTGGAGGCTCCCTCATGTGTCTGGCCCCGTTTTGGCATCAGCAGTAGGAATCAGTTTCCCGATGAACCAAAAGCCGTGCACTCCTGTTCCCTGGGCTCTCCTCGCACAAGACCACCCCTTACACACACACACACCCTCCACTCCCATCACCACCGCCTACCATAGGAGGACAGCAAGAAAGAAGGAGAAATGTACATAGTTTTCCAGAACATTCTGTAGTGAAAAACAACACAAGTGGAGCTGCTGAGGGAAACAGCTGCTCCCGCCCAGCTGGCAGGGACACTCCAAGGTCATACCTGACAAGTGGGAAAGGCTGCAGTGGCCTGAGTGTGAATGACAGACTCAAGGATGCAACTGCTATCGCACCTCATGCCCCTAGGCCTGGCCCGTGGGCGGCACGCACAGGAGAAAAGACTGCGGACCATGAGGGAGAAGAGGAAGACGTTTGAGAATCATCAAGGTGTTCTGGGTCCTACCCCAGTTATCCTCAAAGAACAGTTCAACCCAATGAACCCAGGCCCTGGTGGGTCCCGGGAGACCAATAACAAGAGGACAAGAGCAAGGGACAGAAGCAACTAACATTTACGGGACACTTACTACCTGGTAGGCACTACCCTAGGAATTTTACATGTACAATGTTTGCTCATTCAGTCCTCCCAACAACCTATGTGGTAGACAGTATCATTAAGCCCATTCTACAAATGAGAAAAACCGAGGTATGGAGAAACTGTTGCTTGTTTTATGTCGTACAGCACATAATTAGAGCCTCGCAACATCCCAAGCTGTCTGATCCCGGCCCCCATGCTGACCCCCGGCTCTACTGTGATGGGGGGTGGTGGCCGCCCCCAGGCAGAGAAGCTCTGAGTCTCACCCTCAGGAAGCTCCCAAGACCCCCAGATGCTGACCTTGGAAGGTGCGTGAAAATAACCTGCTTCCCTTCAACTCTCAAAGATGGAGGGAAGTCTTCCACTCTTGCTGTACAGGAGAATCTCCCGGAGAGGCTGGTCAGTTTGTCCGTCTGTCCACCTCTACTTCTGCCTGAGCCCCTCCTCCACAGGTTTTGACTCAACTCTCTACGGCGGGGCCCAATCATCCGTGTTGCATGATCTCCCCAGGTGATTCCAATGAGGGACCAGGGCTGAGAGCCAGGCCAGGGTAATTCTCCCCAGAGCAGCTACAGGCCCTTGAGTGAACCCCGCCACGATGGGCCTGTCCAAGCAAGAGCCATTCCTTTTGCTACATTCTTCATGATGCTCTCATCTGCACCTGTCAGTACAAAACACGAAAACCGTGCTTTGCCGCACCCAGAGCGCTCCGGACCTTAAAAGAATATATAAGCAACCTAATGACATTCCTAAAAATTTGGAAGATAAAAAAAAATCATCTGTGATGTTACCATGCAATACAACTGTTATTATGTTATCAACCTTTTTCGGTGCATCTTTTCTGTTGATGCTTTGGCATAGTTAGAGTCACAGATCACATAAAACTGTCTAACTTTCCGCATTCATATTATGTCTTAAACCAGTGGTTCTCGAACTCTCTTGGGCAGCTGAATCTTCTGGAGGGCTTGTTAACAGACAGATAGCTGGGCCCCTTTCTAGGGTTTGATTCAGTAGGCCTGTGGTGAAGACAGAACTTGCATTTCCAACAAGTTCTCAGGAGAAACAGCTGCTGCTTTTCAAGTTCCAGGTGCTTGTAATGAACCCCTGCCTTGTACCCTTTAAAGGTGCTGATTCCTCCAACTTGCCCTGATATCAGGGTGGGCCATCTGAGACCAGAAAGGGTGAGAGGACACAGGATCCTGCAGGGAGCGGCAGGGACTCTGAGCCTGTTCACTTCCCAGGGACCTCGAGCAGAAGGGCCTCGAGATGTTGCCAGGCAACATGACAAAAAGGTGGCCCTGCCGTCCACAACTCAGGGGCTCTGGCCTGGGGTGCTGTTTTGTCC